ACATGCTGTTTAGTGTGCCAGAATTCCTTTGTATGACCAATCTAGGGGAGTGCTTGGCATGGTTAAAAAAAAAGGCTCTCCATAGCAAAGCAGACTTTGTCCACGTGTGGACGCTTCCAATTTATTTCCAGATATGTAGAGATTAGTTCCACAGGGGTGTACAAAGTGGCTTGATTATGCTGAAATCAAACATCTCTTCCAAGTTCTTATAGACAGAGGGAAGAGCCTTATGGAAAATCCCTGCAGTTTTATGTTCTAAAAGACTGTCAGGAAAGGCAATGCAAGTTCTCTCTCTCCAGACCAAACCAGACAATACGAGATTCTATGAATTACTATAATTTAAACAGTTATACAAGACATCTCACCATAGCAGGGAAGACGGTGCCCAGGTGACCCGTGAACCTGTTCAGTCTTCCTATCAAACAACATGTTAGCTCCATATCTGTGCCCTTAAGTACAGGGTTTGGGTTTTATTGCACAAATTGCCAGCGTGGAGCTCCTGATCGCAATTGGGACCCTGGCATTTGAGGTAGGGGTCTTTAACTCATTGCATCTGGCTATGGTTAAGACTTAGAATGGGCTTCTCATCATGTCAGCAATTTGAATAAGAATAAAAGTTCCAATTGAAGCACATAGGATATTTTTTCTTATATAAATAGCTGGTGCAGCCCCCACCCCTATCTGAACTGGGACCACAGGAAAGGCAAAGTTTAAAGCTGTCTATCTTCCATGTTAGGTCCCAGTATGGACCACCTCTCCCCCACTACACTGTCCATTTGTGTAAAAATGAAACCTGCACTTCAGAGTTCTGATATGGAGCTAACATATTGTCTAACATATAGTTAAGTATCATAAGGAAACCAGAAGAGCTGGCTGGATCAGGCCAGTGGACCATCAAGTCCAGCATCCTGCTTTTATAGTGCCTGTGAACCAGATGTATCTGTCAGGAGTTCAGCCTACACTTGAGTAGGACCCTGGTAGAGACACATGCCTGACTGGCATGTTCTCTTCCTCCTGGCCAATCGTTCAGGAGCTTCAAAAGCTTTCTTCTGTCCGAACATCACAGCGACCGATGCCAACTGACACCGGCACACTTAGGGATCTGCAGAGTAGGTGTAGTTGCGTAACAGACCTCAGCAACTCAGCATTTTGGCTAATCTACTTTATTGACATATAAACACACACGGAACACTGCAACATGGCTCCCTCTCTCTCTAGCATCAGACAGCAAAGAGAAAAAGAACAAAGGACAATATAGTCCCACTTCATGGAGCACAGTAACACAAACATCCTGTCTTCGTCACTTCCCACTCTGTGGAGTCAAAACATATACTGTCATGTGAAAGACAAAAATCCCATGACTGCAATCATGAAGCAGGAATTCTAACAGTATCCACCATCGTGGTTCTCTCACACGCAAGGTCACAAGTGCTAAACAGGAAGAGCGAAGTTTCTCAAAGTAGCAAATACACCCTTGCTTCCTTCCAGGTTACCAGAATATGCTACAAGCTGTGAAGTGTGGACTTCAAGGAAACAGTTCTGAGTATGCTCAGAGCACATATCTGATTCAGATAGGTCTACCAGGCCAGGAGGTCTACCCTGAGGCATAGCTACTAATGTTGTACTATGGCTATATGCTAGCTACTGTATCGTGGCTGTCTTCATGATAACAGGAGGGAGTAGGGATCCTGTGAAACTGTCGAGCTATCACTTGTAAAATGCTAATTTTTTACTTGAGTCCTCTGCCTAGAGATGGATGAGAGGGATATCCATAGCATAGGATTTGGATTGTCTAACAGTACAGAGAGCTTATCAGCCAAGGAATGAAAGATTGACAGAAATGTCTCAGGGGTCTCTCTAAAATGAAATAAGTTACAATTGTGTAGACGACAGAATAAGTGTGGTTTTTGCGATTGGGGGTGGGGGAATTAAATTTTTACTAGGGCTTTGCAGAAACCTGTATAGCCATAGACCAAACTGCTGGTAAACTTGGTAAAAGAAGCCAGTCTTTTACAGTAGTTGCAGCTGTGAAAGGAAGAGTGCCAAATTGGTGTCTGAACTAAATTTGTGGCTGGTGCACATTTGTACTGGATACGGGTTAAGAAGGAAGAAGGTAAAGCATTTTAGTTTGTTTGTTTGTTTGTTTAGTGACTGCTGCCAAGTCCTAGAAGCAGATATTCTGCCTGTTCATGTCTGGTTGGTAAAGATTTGGGATATAGCTAACAATGACATTATCTGACATTATCAAATTTAGAGATTGTTCAGTTAGTTGTTTTAACTGAACAGAATAAGTAGATGCTTCGTATAACCACTATTCTGCATTGGCTCTTAAAAATGGTTCTCCAGAAAATTCAGTTGCTAAGGTTATAAAAGTAATTTTGCTTTGTTGTATTTCTAGATTTCTCCTCCCCTTCTGAAAACCACTAGGACGACCCTGCCATCAAGTCTCTCATTTCAGACCCAGAACCTGCAAGACTCCTGCAGGCTTAGTGGTATCTTTTCTACATGATCCCCTGGGTAAGTCAGTCAGTTACATTTACCCCTCCTCTCCCTCTCTGCCATGTGGAGCGTTTCTTATGTTTATAGGGAATCCTGTCTTCATTCTGCATGCTACCAGTGAGAGCAAGAAAAGTAAAGTTTATATTTGCATACACTCTAATTGTCCCTCTTTGCCAGGCAAGGTATCTTAGTATTTTCTGTGCCATGGATCTAATAAAAGAGTTATAATTTTGATCCTCTGTGCATCTTAGAATCATAGAATTGCAGAGATGGAAGGGGTCCCAAGGGTCATCTAGTCCAACACCCTGCAATGCAGGAATCCTTCCCACAGCCATCCCTGGGTGGGCTCAAACCACCAATCTTCTGGTTAACTCCTAGACACACTGAACCATTGCGCCACATGAGCATCCAAGTGCACCAGCTTTCCTCCTATTTTAAACTGACCCTCAATTTTCTTAGGATGTCAGAAATACACAATGTACAATCCTTGTGTAAAAATGAATGGTGTTCAGTGTAGTCTAAAGATCTATGCTGATTGTTTCCTTCCTTCCCTTAATTGCTTATATCTCATAATTTTGTTCACTAATAGTATATCCATTATTTTATTTTTCCACATCTTCCCTATCAATACCTCTGCTGTTAGCAGCATGTAAGAGACCACACAAGACAGCCCTTCCTAAACACGCAGTTTGCATAGCCCCAAACCATTGTTACTAGATTTAAATGTAACTCAGAACTCCTAATCTCCTTAATACCTTGCTAAATCCCCAGAAATGCCTAACCAGACAACAATCCCTCTGTATGTATGTTCAAAGGTGCACTTTGCACCCTTACCTCTCCAACACCAATGTGCCTGTAAGCATAGGAAACATTCCACAGGGCTGGAAACACATGCACACCTCATGCACAAACACGGCCCATTGCAAACATTAAATTTAAGAAGCTGCGCAATTTTTTCCCCATGAAAGGAAGCCATATTACTAACACATCTACAAAGGCAAAAGGTAGGTTGTGAAAGAACTAAGCAACTGCTTCCTCCTGACTTCTCACTCCAAGCCCAGCCCGTCAGAGTGGCTTTTGGGTACTTTTGCACGTAACATATAGTTAGACTCTCAAAAGGCTAATTAAAAATTCAAGGCAATTTTATATATTGTAAGAAGTTTACGGCTGCATTTCTTTCCTGAGAATAAGCCCACAGAACACAATGGGCCTTGCTTCTGAGAAAACATGTATAGGACTGCACTGTGAAGTACTGTCGCTTTCCACTCAGTTGCAAAGGCTGTGGTTTCCTCTAAAGTATTTCCTGTCTTTTCTAAGGCAAGCAGGTTGGGGGTTGTACAGGCAAAGACTTCAGGTCATATTCTGCCATTAAGCCTGTTGCTGTGAGAGAAATAAAGCTGATTCTCACCCTAGAGACAGGAAATGGAGGAGATGACGGGAAAGGGTAGAGGTGAGACCCTGCTCAGTTTCAGGGTTGGCTTAGTACGGTTGTGCCAGGGGTTAGGGTGGTGGAGCAAAAGCACATTACGTCTGGGGTTGCACACAGCTCTGCGGAGCAGGAGGCTGCATCGGGCTCCTTTGAGAGGAAGAGCTGGATAGAAATTTAATTAATAAATAAAGAAGCTTTATTTGGGCCATGTGGGCTATTTTTTATTTTTTTTTACGTGAAGGCAAACCAGCCATTTGCAAAACATGACAAAATGGAGTGTAGTAGTTTTAATAACAACCACTATCGCAGCATCGAGAGCTCCTTAACAATCCTGAGTCTTTACGTACATATGCTTGCTAACGTTTTTTTGAAAAAGGGAAATGCAGAAAGTGGTGGTGGTGAGGCCTGTATAGTTGATTGCAAAAGCAGGCCTGGGCAGGGGGCAGCTGGGTACATTTGCTCTGGGCCTTGGGCAACAAATATATGAAAATAATAAGACCAATATTCTTTGCATGAAAAATAAGACCTGGGGGAGGGAAAGCACAAACTTCCTTACTGTTTCCCTTACTGTTACCTGGGTGCCCAATTGCAGCTAAGCTAAAAATTATGCATTTCTATGTTGTTTCCTATGGGTAGCAATCTTTCTCTCACAGGGGAAGTCCCAAAAAATAAATAAAAATAAAATAGAAATGAACCAGCAAGCCCCTTCTGGAGACAACAAATGCATCACTTTTATTATTTGTAATCTCTATGACTTGTACACTTCCCCCCTCCCAATGCCAAAGCCTTGAAAAGTGCTACCAGGAGTTTCTCACAGAAGGACCAGGCACTTATATCTCACAGATCAGCTTCTGATATTTTTTAAAAAATACATACATACATACATACATACATACATACATACTTACATAAATACACACACCACCACAGGTGGGCATTTGATCTTGCTAATGGTGGAAATGGGCCCTGGTTGGGTGGGGAGGACTGAATACAGGGAAGCCCAGACTGCTTGGCAATATGGCCACCCTGCTGATGGGACATGTAAGGAGTATTTTCCAGTTGGGAAGGGGAGATGTTCAGCCCCTGCCAAAATGAGTTTTGCCTAAAGAAGATTGTGACAAGCCCCAGACTTTTCTCAGAAACAGGTTTATTTTACAATTTAGAGGAACAAGGTAAATGTGTAAATATTTAGTGCTGTCAATTACTTCATCCCGCATAACTGACTTTCTGAGGGAATTTGGGAACATTGCTCTTTGCCCAGGCATAGGAATGTTGAGCAGTCCTGATCCTGGCAACCCTGAAATTATCGGCTGGTAGAATGTTTTCTTTTAAACTGTTGTTAGAAGTGTTTTTTTTAATGCTTTTAGAATATAATTAGTGATATTATTGTTAATGTGTTTGCCACCCTGGAAATAATAATAGTAGTATTAGTAATAGTAATTATTATTAATGATAATAATAGTGATAATGAAGGAAGCTGACATTGGAAACTAGAATTATTAGAAGAAGAAATAAATGACAAATAAAAATAATAATAATAAAGTAGCCTTGCCTTTGGTGGGCAGGGAATGTTAAGACCAAGAAGAATGTAAAGGGAATGTGTGCCCATTTTCAAGTTTGCTTGTTGGAAATGTTTATCAACACATTTAAGGAGATACGTGTTCATTTTGCTTATGGGAATAGAATTGCATTTGGAGTTCACCAACTCTTTTCTTGTTCTAGATTTTATCAGTTGCTGTCTTGGAGCCAAAACGTTCTTTCTCCTCATGAAATTCAAGCATCCATTAAAGGTAAGGTAAATCTGCAAACACACGCAGGGGAGGATTATCTGGACTCCAGTTTTTAGTTTTTGTGAATTGCTTAGAGGCTCTGTTCACAACCAGGCAGTATATGAATAAAATAAACTAGTACTTTGTTCAGTAGATGACTAAGGGAATATTTAGATAGTGACAGCTGTGTTTAAAGAAAAAAGAAAAAAACAGTGCCATCAATATAAAAACGTAAGAAGAGCTTGCTGGATCAAGCTAATTTCACTCTCCCCATAGCATTCAGAAGCATTGCTGGGTTTTATTGCCTCCAACTGTTTGAGGCAATAAAGCCACAAGTAGCTTATTTTCAGGTGAGAAACTATTTGCATGAAATATTCCCTATGTAAAATTATCATATGAAACAGGAAGCAGTAGCTTTTCATCTGCCCCCTCCCCCCAAGTGGGTCTTCTCTGACATTTTCAACTTCCTATGCAAAAATAAGGGAAAATTGCCTTGGGATGCAAAGAGCCTTTAACACCAGGAGAAAAGGGAGGCAGATTTCCTTTTTCCTGAAGTGGAGGAGGAGATCCATGGATCTTCTGCTCGCTCCACTAGATTTGACCAATCAGATTTGAACAAGTGTTCACGAGACTAAGATAACAGTCCTTCCCTTTCTGTTCCTTCCTACCTAGCTCTGACAGGGGGCACTTCAAAGGGGCTGTCATATTTTATATTAGCAGCTGGGCGAGGGGATTGCACCCACCAGACTATTCAGTTTTCCTATTTCTATCCCTCTTCAGGGGGACGTAGGGTGGAAAGAGAAATGATTTTAAAAGAGAGAACAGTTTTTGAGAAAGTTTAAATGGACTGTGGACACCGTGGCTACAATTTTCTTGTCCAAGCAGGAGAAGACACCCCTGCATTCTCAATGGCTCTGAAAGGCGCTTGAGCGACACAGGCAGGGGATGTTCGTGGAACTGAATGCCCAGAGAGAAAAGAGTACCCATGGATAGTGTGATTCTCTCCTCAGAGCTCAGGAAGCAAGGTGCACCTGTGGTGGTGTAAGCCCAGGGAGTTGGCTGAGCCCAACATGATAGGTTTTAAAAAACAAAATGGGTTGGGATATCAGTTTATAAGACTTGGAAGCTGGAGCTGCCTGAAGTTCCTCAGCTTCACTACCCATTCTGTCTCATTCATACATCACTAGCATTGCTTTAAGGGGAAAAAATAAAACACAGAAATAAAGCAAAGCAGGCTGTTTGCTTACAGCTTCTACATATTCACAAGGATGACTACAAATTGTACACTATATGGTTGGAGCTACCTTTGTGGTCTCCTTGTGCAAGAAAGAGGGAGAAGAGAGTGAATGTGCAGGAGGAAGGGGTGCAGCTTAGGTGGGAAACCACAAAGTATATTTTATCCTGTAATCTGTTACTCTCAACCCTTCCATCTACTGACTGGAAACATGCAAGGCTGCATATACACAGCACAATGTTCTGTCTTCAAGACTATTCCCAAAGAAAAATCTCAAGTTCAGTTTTTACTAAAATTCTTACAGGTTGGTTCCAGCTGCTAGTCACATTTAAGGCCAGCTATTTACCGTGCCTGTAGGAATGTAATCTCCCCACTACACTGATTTGCTAGAAATATCCACATAGCATTTCCTTTTTTTAAAAAAAATTAAAAATAATATTTATTACTTTTAAAAATTACAGAAAAGGAAAAGAAAAGAAACAAAAGAGAGAGAACAAAGAAAGGAAAAAAAGAACAATACAATACAATATATAACAATACAAAACACAACCTAATCACATTGAACTAAACTAAACAAAACCCTAACCCTAAACAAAACAAAGCAATAACCATTTAAAAACATAAATCACACCCTTTCCATACTCTATTTTTCATTCCCTTGTTTCCTCTACTTCCTCTCACCTCCCTTTTTGTATTCCACTTCTTTTAATTGTTTCAGCAAACCCTTTCCATCTTTCTCTATTTTCTGTCTTATTATAAATATCTTAACATATTTTTTATCATTAAAAACTAAATACTCATATATCCTTAACTCCTTATAGCATTTCTACTAAAGCCATAAAATTTCTTTCCACCATTTTTCTATCATTCATTAATTTTGCAATATTTCTATATATAAACTTTAAAATCTCTAATCTTCATCCACCATCTCCTCTCCCTGGTTTCGGATTCTGCCAGTCCTTTCCGTCAAATCCATATAGTCCATCAACCTGGAGATCTTATGTCCGAGGCTCTTAAGTCTTTTCCAGGTCCCTTCTGCAGGTCTTCTTCATATTCTTTAGTGCCAAAAAGCAAATCTCGAGAAAACTCCAACCTAGCAATACTTTTATTCCTTCTGGACAAGTCAGCCAAATTTCCATAGTTAAAGCTGAGGTCTATAAGATGTTTCATGACATGTTTCAATATTCCTCCAAGTCCCAAAGCCCCCAAAACTCCAGTCTCCTCCAAACCCAAGTCCATGTCCCAAAAGTCAGTTAATCCCTGCATAGAAGGATCTTTCCAACTTTCCTTCTTCCGTCCAAGCCGGGATCCAATCTTCAAAATCTGACTTTTTCTAGATTCAATCGTAGAAGGCCTCAACTTGTAGTCCTCAATTATCTTCTGTATGGCTGAAAATCCCACTTGTATTACTTTAGGCTCAGCCACCACAGCTTTCTCTTTCTCCTCCGCAATCTGTCCAACCAAAGTAATTTCTTGTGCCAAGTCCTGAATTGTTCCACATAGCATTTCCTTTTCTTTCTTTCAGATGGCTTCCAAGAGACTTGCAAGGATGCTTGTTTTCACTATGGCTTTGGTTTGTTTTCTCTGTTTATATGCCAAACTGGGCACTTTCGAAATCTGCATATTCTGTGAGACGAAGCACGAGTTCTTTCCCTTTAAGAGAGATGGACGTTTTTTAAGGAGGCCTCATATGAATTGCAGACGGAATCCACCATTCCTGGTCATTCTTGTGACATCATCTCACAAACAATCCAAAGCCCGGATGGCTATCCGTGAGACATGGGGCAGAGAAAGAAAAATAGACAACAAACGTATTGTGACCTATTTTCTCCTGGGAAGTACTCTCACTGATGTTGACCAGCGTGCTATTGATGATGAGAACAAAAAACACAGAGACATTATCCAGAAGGATTTTCTAGATTCCTACTACAATTTAACATTAAAGACTATTATGGGCCTTGAATGGATTCACAAATTCTGCCCACAAACCAGCTTTGTGATGAAAACAGACTCAGATATGTTTGTGAATACCTACTATCTCACTGAACTTCTTCTACAGAAAAATAAGAAGGTTAGCTTCTTCACTGGCTTTTTAAAAGAGAATGAGCATCCAATACGAAAACTGATAAGTAAGTGGTATGTGAGTGAAGAAGAATATTCAGGAAACTTGTACCCTCCATTTTGTTCAGGGACTGGTTATGTTTTGTCTGCAGATGTTGCTAGTAGTGTGTATAAAATTGCCAAAGAAGTTCCTTATTTTAAACTAGAGGATGTTTTTGTAGGCATGTGCCTTGCTAAACTCAACATCAAACTGGAAGAACTTCATTCAGAACAAACATTCTTCCCAGAGGGGCTTGTATTTTCTGCTTGTCGTTTTAGGAAAATTGTGACCAGCCACTTTGTCAGACCTCATGAGAATCTTATCTACTGGGAGGCACTGGAGAGGTCCTTGGATGAAAATTGTCATCCAGGGACCTATCCAGGTGGCTGATAGGTTTCAACAGAGGCACAAAACTGCATAGAACATAAATCCTGAAATTTTTGCTTAGATACTTATATTTTAGATAAGAAGATGCCGACATTGCTTTTTAAAACCCAAGCCTATGCTTGTTTGCTTACGAGTAAGTCTCATTGTGTTCCATAATGCTTACTCCCAGGTAAACAGCTTGAAAAACCCACTGCAGTAGTGTGCCAAAGAGGATAGGGCTCCTGAACTGATGGATAGTTTTGAAGAACAGGGAATTTCAGCAGGTGTACCTTTCTGAAGAAGCTTCATGAGCCTTACGTGCTGAAGTTCCATCTTCTCCACAATTATTAATGGTGCAGGAGCCCTGCCCTCCTTTGTATCTGGCCACTCTAGTTCCATAGGAGGCTGTGCAGCAGGAGAGTTGCTCTGGTAGTGGGCACACTTCATAGCAATATAATGAGTCACCATACTCATCTTCAAGGCTGTTGACTAGCTCTTTAAACAGGCACTGTTCAGCCCCTGAGTTTTAATAAAGTTAATGAGTGAAACAACTTTGTTTCACAAGGTTGGTGCACACATTCTCCCGGTGGCTCATACTGCTAATTGTGATCAATTCACTTGTGTCAGTATTGAGACACTTCATTCCTTTCTTTCTGATCAAAGAGTAGGATCCAAAGGGGGTGTGTTGTAAGTCATGATGTCAGAGAATTTTGACGGAAGCAGAATTTGCTGATATTTGCTTATTTGTTCCACTTCTGCAACATAAATGAATCCACAGAATATATATGGTATTTGCTATCGTTTTCAGCCCACAAATGATACATAATGAGTTTTCTCCCATTTGCCTTGCATTTTCTTTGTATTTCTATGGTGTGGCATAACTTCATAACACTGTAATTATGTAATTAGTTACAAAAAAATGTGACTTACTTTATTATTACTTATTAAATTTGTATACTGCCCTTCATCTGAAGATCACAGGGTGGTTTGCAACATAAAAAACACAAAATGAGAACACAAGATACATAACAAAACAGCAATAACAAACCAATAACCCCCCTCACAAACACATTTTAAAGGTCATAGATTGTTTAAGCAGTTATAGTTATAACCTAGTTATAGAGAAAAATATTTTCACCTGGCACCTAAGGAGATGTAATGAAGGTGCCAGAAAAGCCTCCCTGGGGAGAACATTCCACAAGTGGGGAGCCACTGCAGAAAACGCCTGTTCTTGTGTTGCCATACGCCAGACCTCTCACATATTGTTTTATGTATTATTTTATTCATTTAGATAATTAACTAATTCTGTAAAATTTTGAGACAGCAGACAAGAAGACTGATAATATATTTTTTGGCAGAAGATGAACTGTAGTAAAACAAAAACAGCACTGCATGCAACCAAATCAGAGTGGAATGGAGAACTGTGCCTTCTGACATGCCTAGTAAAAAACAAAGGAGTTTCAAAGACTCCTCTCTGAAAGCAGCTCCCCCTGAGACGCTATAAGCCACTCAGGGGACTTGTGAAAGTGGCATCTGATTCAGTTCAATAAACTGCACTCTGTGTGTGTGTGGAATTCCAACGCAAAGCAGGTGTTGTACATAGAAAATTGCTGTTGGTAGGGAAGGTACGTTAGGTAGGCTGTCATTACGAGAGCAAAAAGAAAATAAAGGGAGGGAAAGTATTGAAAAGCCCAGATTAATCTACCATGTTATACAAGCTTTCCGTTTCATGTACTTATCCAAAGGCAACTGCCTTCTGGCACTTACAGTTTATTCACTAAGTCTGAGTGCAACTCTTCTGAATTAAGCACTTTAAAGTCCTACTGATTTTAATGGGAGTGCACCTGTTGAAATCAAAGTATTGACTAATGCCTACTATTTATCACTAATATCACCTGCTACCCTCTCAACCAATAGCCATACTCTCTTTGCCTCCTCCTCCATCTATCATTTACTCCATCTCTAGAGTCCATTTTCAGTCTGTTTCTGATGGCCAATCACCTACAAGCCTGCACACATGAATGCCTCCAAAGAGCAATCACTGTGTGCTGCTAGAACAGGCATGGCCAAACTTGGCCATCCAGTTGTTTTGGAACTACAACTCCCATCATCCCTAGCTAACAGGACCAGAGGTCAGGGATGATGGGAATTGTAGTCCCAAAACAGCTGGCAGGCCAAGTTTGGCCATGCCTGTACTGGAACAACCCTTCACAGCCCCAGTGTGTTCGACCTATTGATGGAGACAGATCTGGGTAATAGGTGAATTTTACATATTTTTTTAAAGGTGTGATCAACCATTGTAGGTTTCTTCACAGTAGCCCTATAACATAAGCCTGATTTGAGCATTCACCTACGATCCTCTAAGTCAGGAGCACTTGCTTACTCTTTGCCCACCATCACATCTGAGAAATCCAGCTCATGGGACCAGCATTCTCTCATAGGGCAGGCTGCAGACATCCTTCCAAATGCACAAATGCCACTGGGGAGAGGCTGCCATGGGGTTTGACAGTATAAGTGGAGCAAGCAAGTGAAGTCCTGCTCTCCTGGTTCACACAATGGTAATCATGAAGTCATTTGAATGGCTTATGCTTCCTCGCACGTGGCATCATAATGCTGTGACTAACATAACCTCTGTTCCCTTATTATTTGTGAGATGGCTAAATATAACCCACCAATCATTTACTGAGAAGCTTGATAGAGAATCTGTCTTGGAGGACTCATCCCTTTGAAGAAACACTGCATTATGTATTTTCTTCCTCAACATATGGATTTGCTTCAGGTGTCGCTTTTAAAATAATGCCTGCTATGCTCCTTTTCAATATTTGAAGGATTAGCACATAATATTTCTAGTAGCTGTTAAGTCCCAGTGGATTCACTGTAGTCCATGCAAACTTGTTGGAGCTTATTTCTATCATTCTGGTGTATCACCCCCAGTCCTGCCACAAGTTAGTTTTACTTTCAGCAAGTAGAGTCAGTTCAATATAGGAAACTTTAGATATGCTACATTTTCAGTTTAACCCTTAGACCAGTGTCTAGCAGTTATTTTCTTTTGATATCTGGATCTGACTCAAGCATACACACACAGGAAAACCTGAGCCCCCAGTTTGGATGACTGAGTAGCAATCTCCCCCCGCCTCACATACCTGGTATCTGATTAAACAGCAGGATAATAAACAATAGCAGCATTAGCAAGAAAGATAGCCAAAATCATAAAGTCATCCCCATGCTCAAAACCAGAGCCAGCCAACCTATGAGGCAAGGTGAGGGTCCACCCAGGGCAGAAGATCCCAATGTTGATCTTTCTTCCCTGCCTGCCCCCTTGTTCCTGATCTTGGTCTTCCCTAGTGGGGGTCGGGGTGTCATTTTGGGATCTGCCTCAGGTCTTGGTCTGCCCTGCTCGAAACTGTCCACCAGGTCTAGATGTACCAACAGAAGTCCATGTCCTTTGGGCCTTATTCAAAGTTCATTCAAGAATGCAGTCAGTGTGATGGCTTTACATGTTCCATAAAGATGCAAAACGTGAGAACCCTGCAACGTCAATTTTCCAGCAAGTGTCAGCAGCGCATCTTGGTGCATTGCAGATGCTTCAGCTAACCCGTGCCAACATGCCAACAGCAAATTTGTATTCCAACCAGCAGGTGGCAGCAAAGATTGGTGTCAAATCACCTTTAAGTCTTGATCCAGCTTCTGGTCCTGTAGCTCCCTTTAGTCTCTGTGGTGCCAGCCAATCACAGGTGCAAGCAAACTCCTAGCTCCTACAGTGACTCAAACCTCCATCCAAATAATGATTTCAGCCAGGAAGGATAGAGCCACCTACCATGATTTTAGCCAATAGGAATTGCAGTATAAGAGCTCCTGTAGGAACTTTACTACAAAGGTTAACAGATCATATGATATGATAGCCATCTTCAAATATCTAAAGGGCTGTCTTACGGAAGATGGTGCAAACTTGTTTTCTCCTTCCCTGCTAACAGTGGACTACCCCGAATGGAAACCATCTCCCACTCAGCCACAGTCACAGCCCCCCACACAGTATGGAGTAATATATTGTATTGACACAGGCAAGTCAATTTTTCAATGTTTCAAAAGTAAAATGATAAGAAATCCATACTGTCCAAATAAGACCTGCATTAGAGGACCAAGTCCTGTCTTTGCTGCTATTTTTTGTCTGGTGAGGAGGCACGCAGGTTAAAATCCTGGATTCTTCCACTGTTTTCTTTGAGCTGCTTTCAGTTCCATCATGTGGGAGAGAATAAAAAAACCACTTTCAAAGCGAACCAGCAAGCTCCATTTCTGAACAATAGAATTGTGTCTTGGGCTGTGACTCACCTCATTGCCTGCCAAAATGGAATGTGGGAACCGGCTTGAGTCTTGAAGAATGATTGGGTGGAATATTGCCTGCACATTTTTCTCTTTTGATGTACGTAGGTTATGTTCTTATGCTTAATTCATTAATTCAGCAATCACCAGCATATTATGGCACTGCTGAAATAATTGCACTGGCTGCTAATTAGAGGTATGAGCTAAATTCAAGGTGCTGGATCTGGGGTACAAAGCCCTAGGTCATCTCACCCCTTATATACCTAATTGATCACTGAGCTCTGCAGATAGGGGCCTTTTGCAGATTCCACCTTATTAAGAGGTCCATCCTGCGCAATAAAGGAATTGGACCTTTAATATGGTAGCCCCTTCCCTTTGGAATCTCACCCCCCGCGATTGAATATCACACAGGTATCGTTTCTGTTGTCTTCGAACCTACTGAGGACCTTCCTCTTTCAACAAACCTTTTATGTGGAAATCTTACCACAGTCTGCATCTGTACTGGAACTATTAAAAAACTTTTTATAGTTGAAATGTTTTTAAAATGTTTGTATTATTTTATGGAATTGTTTTTAATATCAACCTGCTTCTAGAATCATAGAATTGTAGAGTTGGAAAGGATCCGGGGGTGGGACCTCTACTCCAACCCCCCACAATGCAGGAAACTCAACTAAAGCATCTGTGAGAGATGGCTATCCAACCTCTGCTTAAAAACCTCCAACAAAGGAGAGTCCACAACCTCCTGAGGGAGTCCTCTTTAATTGTGTTTTGCACTAGTTTTATGGTGTTAGTTGTTTTATGATTGTATATTTTACTGTTGCAACCCATCCTGGGACCTTGCGGTGAAGAGCAGGTAAGAAATAAAAATAAAAATAAAAATGAAATAAATCAATAAAAAGAATTTATATGCATCTCATGCATGTGTAATAATGTGCTTTTGAGATGCTCAGTAGTTTGTGATTTGGCTCCTCTGGAGTTTGGGGAGCCTGGATTTAACCCTTCTGCTTGCACTTTATTGTTTCACTTCACTAGTGGCCTGATTGTAGCATGAATTGTGTGAAGCCCACTCTTTGGCCATTAGGCCCCTGCCCTTAGCAGCTTTGAAAAGGATGGAAGCCCTCCAGGATCTGAGGTGCGGCTAAGGGTTGTGCAGTGGTACCTCGGTTTTTGAACGCCTCCGTACTTGAATGTTTTGGAACTCGAACACCAAAAACCTGGAAGTAAGTGCCTCGGTTTTCAAACGTTCCTCAGAACTCGAACAGGAAACGCGGCTTTTGTTTGGAGTTTTCTTGTGTTGAGGCTTACATTTTGAGGCTTCTGCTTTCGGTTTTCGAACGTTTTGGAAATCGAACAGACTTCCGGAATAGATTATGTTCGAAAACCAAGGTACCACCAAGTCTTTGGCTTGTACTACTTCTTTACTCTACCTTTTCCTACTGGACAGCAGAGGACCATGGCGAAGAGAGTGTTGGGGCAAACTGAGGGATTCATTATTTTCCTCAGTAGCAATTGAGGCAGTTCTGCGAAGTATGGGGGAACACATGAAGGTTGCTATGTCCCTCCCACCTCCCCTGACAGGGTTCTTGTGACTTTAATACAGTATAGAGTGTTAGGCAGCAATATAACAGATAGACTATGTTCTCTTCCCACATAGAGATGCAGTAAGGGGGAAAGTGGCAACAGCTGAATTTTTCACATGCCATACTAGTCATGAAAGTGCAAGAGCAAGGTTTGATCATTTTGCTTCCTCCCTTTTAAAAAGAATCTCCTGGTGCCTGCTGAGCTGCACATTGCTTCATTACGGCAATAGGTGTCGTCGTTTCCACACCTATTTGGTTGGTCCTGTACCTGCCTTTTTACTTTATGTTTTGATGGCATCTGTTAATTATTAAAAACCATGGAATATGTTCATTGGTTGCACACCTGAGTCATATCTTTTTATGAGATAAAAGGTCATTGCAAACAGAGTCACACAAAAGCCGCCTCAGAAACCAGAAGTTGCAGGAAATGCTTTGTGTGGGGCCTTCCAGAGGAATAATATAGAAGCCAGTTGAGCGTTAATCGGAATATTTGTGTGTGTGGCTATATGAGGAGTTACTTGGATGGAAGAGACAGCAATGAACAGATTTTCTTTCTCAGAAGAGACTAAGGTTTTTCATGTGACAATCTACTGGTAAGAAGGTAAGGAACTCTCAAGCCTATGATAGTCAATTTAATATGGGTGAATGACTGCAAAATGGGTTTACTGATAAAGAATCTGCGGTTATGTAATGATATTTAGAAAAGGATGTTTGCTCTCCAAAGTTAAGTTAGCAAAATCCAAATGTGAACAGAAAGTAGGAAGTACAATAGTGTAGAGGCCTCTACTTTTGAATGTTACTTGTTTGGCACAGTCTTAGATATGTTTACTGTGTATGACGGGGCTTAAAACTTAGTGAAAGTGCTGACAGTTGCAGCTTTAATTTATATGTCTAATCACACACATGTGGAGAGCAACTACTATATAGAAACGTATTTTTCTGTTGATCCCACAGCTCTGAAATGGTCTGCAAATGATCCTTCTTGGTTAATGAAAACCCAGGAAATGAGCTTGGGTAGTCCACCCCTATTGGGCACGTCGATCTGTTATTGTACAAGAGGAGATGCTTAGTACAATGGCAACTCCTGCCTCAAATAAGGAGAGTAAAGCTATCTCCAAATAATTGTAGCTTTCTGTTGTGAAAAACATTTTTTCCAGTTCTAAAAAAAATTGAGCCCCTATGGCCTAGTTTTGATGGAAGTTCCTGTGGCTCTCCTTCCCTAACCCTAACCCTCTTTGACACCTACATCACTGAAATACATTTCCAGGCAACAGTCTTATGCATACTTACAAGGCAGTGAGTCTCTTTTAATCAGAGCTGTTAGCATTTACATTCAAGTATAGATCCATAGGATTGTATTGCGCATCCTTTGTGCTGATAAATCTCATCTTTTTGCTATTTTATGCAATGTAGGTTTTTAACAATAACACAGCAACACCAGCAATAATAGTTGTCGTGAGCTGAGATCTGATTTATGCTTAGCCCTTCTGGGCATTTCTTTGAATGAGGATTGCTATTCTTAAAAAGACTTGATCACATCCGCGACTAGGATAGCTATCTCTTAGCACTGGAAAAATATGGAATCATGTCTGGACAATCAAAGCTTGTAGCACCTTGCTCTTGAGGACACACTTCAGCAGGAATTTTTTGTAGCTTATGGTGGTAGGTGAATGATCCCTTTGCTGAGGGTTTGTTGCCATTCGTATTGTTATGAGTTTGTGGATTTAGGAAGAGTTAGAATTAAATAAGGTTTGATTAAACTGTGCCAAACACTAAAACTCCCTGGATTTAGTTTATGCTATCAACCTAGGCCAATCTGGGATAGCTGCTAAGAGGGGCCATTAGCAGGGCACAAAGGCTAGTGATGGCCCATCAAGGAAACCATCAAAGGGCAAGACTGCAGGACCAGGAGGGCTTCCTCCTCCAGCTGTGTGTGTTAGTCTGCTGGGAAGGAAAAGGTTTAAGATTTCAGTGCTGGATTATGTAGGCTGATGGAAAATTGTAGTGTTTTGCAAGAGGTCTGAAAAAGTGGGAGAGAAAGGGGGCCAACAGGACTCCCAGTAGACTGGCTGGAGCAGGCTGGAGCAAATGGGGCAAGCGGGTTCCCTTGTTTGTAGACCTAAGCCTGCTGCTCCTGAGAGAGGAGCAAATAATCATTTTAAGATGTGAATGCTCTGAACCCTCTCTGCACAGTAGATGACCAGCCTGGATAGCTCAGTTGGTTAGAGCGTGGTGTTGATAATACCAAGGTTGCAGGTTCAATCCCTGTATGGGACAGCTGCTTATTCCTGCATTGCAGGGGGTTGGACTAGATGATCCACAGGGTTCCTTCCCACTACAGTTCTATGATTCTATTATTCAGGTTGTATATATGTGTAAATAAACCATATATCATAAAGACACTTCCACCTCCACTGTGCCTAATTGTCCAAAAGGAAACACAGACCCTGTGGAAAGCATGCCATTGCCAAGACCCCTGGAATCTCACACCTCTTAAAGATTGGATGCTTACATGAATCCAGCCCAGGAGTTTTTTTCACAACTGCTCACCACATTCCAGAAGGATGTGATCTCTTCTTAATAGTTAAACACGTTATTTAGTGACTGCACATATATGTATGGTTCTCTGTTTATAATCTAGGAAATATACTGCTTTGTTGTTGTTCAATCCATTTGAAGCATGATTGTTTTTGTCTTTGGATTTGTGACTTTGAAATACTTGATAAAAAGTATGTGTTTTACAGCAATGCACTGGTGTCCTTTTCTTTTAGGTTCATCGGAAGAGCTTCCTAAATGGATAGATATCGGGAATGGATTTGGCTGGGTTTCAGCCTTTTAGTCTTGCGAACAGGTATTATTACCCTTTTCTCATTTGCCAACCAAAGTGAGGCTTTGGGTGTAACTTGTTTGCTTAGCACTTCTTAGGCCGCCTGTTATATAGTTACTCTATAGAATGCTGAAATACTAAAACTAAATTTGGCACACACATTCAGGGTGTCACATTTTAATAACAACCCAGCCCCTTCCTCCCCACCAATTCTCAGTGGGAGAAGGAAAATGCAAAATATTACTCGATGCAAGATTGAAATGTCGTATGGAAATCATTTAATATGGATAGTAAGCTTCCTATACCTTCATTAATTGTTATCCACATGACTTTTTCCTCCAGATCACTGCCTTCCCGCACTTCCCCCTCAGTAAGTCTGGATTTTCTCATACCCCCTCCTTTTCAGAGTATCCCTGTTATGAGAAAATCTGGACTGAGGAAGGGGAAAGTATGGGAAAGTAGAGATTTGGAGGAAAACATCAAAGGACAATGGAGAATTGGGGGAAGTACAGAAAGCTTACTATCTACATTAAATTACCCTATGGACGAGCCCTTTGTGTGCACATTCAAGGTCAACATTTTGAATTTCTATTATAAATTCTAACTTGACTTCCACTTTGTTTTCATGGAGGCCAGGAAAGATGCAAGGCAGAATTCAGTGCAATAGCTCCCTTGAAGACTGACAAGTTGGAATAAGAGATGTGCATGTTCAGGACACAAGGAAAAGGAGGGAAATTGAACACAATACAGGGTATCCCTTGAAAAGCAAGCTACTGACTGAAAGCTGAAGTGTACAGTGGTACCTCAGGTTAAGTACTTAATTCGTTCCGGAGGTCCGTACAACCTGAAACTGTTCTTAACCTGAAGCACCACTTTAGCTAATGGGGGCTCCTGCTGCTGCCGCGCCGCTGGAGCACAATTTCTGTTCTCATCCTGAAGCAAAGTTCTTAACCTGAAGCACTATTTCTGGGTTAGCAGAGTTCTGGGTTACCTGAAGCGTATGTAACCTGAAGCGTATGTAACCCGAGGTACCACTATACTTTCAGTACAGCAGTCTGCATTTCAAGCTGAAATCCTAGCTCAAGTCCCTATGAACTTTGGGTCAGTAAAGATGTAAAAGATACAGCCTCCCTTGAAGTCTTCAGAACAAAAGATCACGTGTACATTTTGAACATCAGCTGGTTATTATACCTCTGCAGGTGTGTCTTTGCAATTCATTTCTTCAACTTCTCATTCTGCATTTTTTTTTCATTGCTGTAGCTGTTTAGCTCGTGTCCCGTGTGAATTTTTTGATACAAGTTTGTGAGTTTTGAAACTTCTTATGATCCTTGAGCATTAAAATGCAATTTAGTACAAAGACGATGATCCCTTTAAGTCCCTTGGGTAGTTTATACAATAAGATGGAAAGAATGTAATTATCTTGGCTTATAATGCCAACATACTTGGAGTATGGTCATTAGCAAAGGATAATAAGAAATGAGAAGTGTTCTGGAATTGGTTCACATTGATGAGAATTACGCTACTATGCCACCTATTCAAATGACTCTTGTAGAGTATTTAGGCTGTTGTGCAATTCTTGGCTCTTGGAAAATTACATGCCCTTTCTGGTAATTATTTCTTTAAAGAAAGTAAAAAAGAAAAGAAAAAAAGATTAAGCCCAGTTTTGCCAACATGAGGATTTATTAAAGTCGTTGTCAATCAATCCACAGAACTGAGCACAAAACTTTGAAAAATTAACTCTTTCAAATCAGTGTGTCAAAGCTGTACAGGATGGATTAAGAAAATTCAAAATGTTTATCCTGAAAGCTCTATAATGGAACAGGCAAGGGCAGCGCTACCAAACGAGCCACAACTACAGTGGTACCTTAGGTTACAGATGCTTCAGGTTACAGACGCTTCAGGTTACAGACTCCGCTAACCCAGAAATAATACCTTGGGTTAAGAACTTTGCTTCAGGATAAGAACAGAAATCTTGCTCCAGCGGCGTGGTGGCAGCAGTCAGCCCCATTAGCTAAAGTGGTGCTTCAGGTTAAGAACAGTTTCAGATTAAGAACAGACCTCCAGAACAAACTAAGTTCTTAACCCGAGGTACCACTGTATTCTCAGGATAGGATGAATCTGCTTCTAGGCACCTGGTTGTTTAAAATTAGTTTAAGTCCAAAATGGGAAGGCTTCGAACCAGATCTCTGGGATCCATTAAGCAACTGCTGTCAACTTAAACTGAGGCAAGACCTTCCCCGTTTTCAAGCACAGGGCAAAGTTACAATACAAGACGACTGATAGCTTTTGTTTCTAATGTTGACAGCAAAGGTTCTTCAGATGTTGTACACACTATCTGGCATTAATCTGTGTTACCAGTACATTAACCAAGTTAAATGCCTCCTTCATTTTTTTGTTCACATGGACGTTTAATGCTCCTCAGGTTTTTATGCAGAAGGGTGATGTCAGACCTATATACATTGATTAAACTGTTATCATGATGATTGTGTGAGATAAGCTAGAAACACCCTTATTGACTTTGGTGTTGGTCTAGTTTCAGTTCCTGAGTGATTTTTTCCCCCTCTCCTGTTTTGCAGATACTGGGTTTGGCTACTCCATCATAGAAGGTCCCAGAAATTTAACAACTCTTGCTGGTTCAGTGGCTCATTTTAACTGTACAGTGTCAAAAGGGTATAAGGTTTTGATATGGCTTTTCAACGGAACCCCTATATTGACTGTACTGGGTAACGGAACACCTATTATAACAAATCCGAAATACAATCAGGATGGTTTTCAAAATGATACTGAGTTCACCTCTGGACTCAAGATTTTTGATGTCCAGCTACATGATTCTGGAGAAATAAAATGCAGCCTCCAGAACTTTCAGGACGATAAATACGCATTTCTTTCTGTTCAAGGTGTGTATGCCTTTTTGTCATCATTCATTTTTAAGGAAAAAACATTTAGGCCAATTGCAAGAGTAATTCATACTGAGATTGCTCTTTCCTATTCCTTCTATACTTCCTTCTCTCAGCACTTTAAACAGTATTGAGGCATTTAAACACTAATAGGTGTGCTGCAGCGCAAGCCTTTGTGGACTACAAAGCAATTTGGTAGACGAATAGCATAATTTTCAGTTGTATACCCTCCAACATTCTGACAATTAAAATTGGGCTGCAGGTCCTTTGGTGCCGTGCTCCCATGCAAGCCAGGTGAGGCTTCCCAGTCCCATGTCTCTGTTGCTGGCAGCAGCTCCCTCAGGAAGTGGCAGACCAGCACCTTCACCTCCTCTTCCCTGTCCTCGTCTTCATCTTTGTCGGCTTCTTCTATGCCTCTGGCAGGGACAGCATCGGCAGAGCAGGCATGGCCTTTGGGTCTGGCTGGGGCATCCTGGCTTACACCACCAGTACCTCCTCCATGGGCTCCAGCTCGGCTGCCTTCATTTGCGTGAAAAACACGCCTCTTTTGGTGCCGAGCTCTCATGGGAAATAGCTGACTTGTGCGAGAGCTTGGCACGAAAAATGAAACATCCACTCAGAAGCTACAATGTAATCTGCAATTCTGGGATGCCCTGGTCAAATCAGAAGTGTTGGTGGGTATGTACTTGACATGTGTTTTTATATATCAGAGAGAGAGAGAATGCATACGGATGGCTGTAGCACCCCTTGCTTCTAATGCCATAGCAATGCTACCATAAAACTAGTGGTTAGTGGATACTAAAGCCAGCATTTGGGAATCATTACAATAGACCCTCATCAAGATATCAGATGCTCCTTTTGACAATACTGCCAATTGGCATTGTTTAGAGCCCAAACTTTTTCCAAAGAGGGCCAGATTTGATGAAGTGAACATGCGTGAGGCCCGACCACAGGCATTTAGCTTTTTTTAGGATTGAAGTTGTTGAGCTTTTTAAAGGATTTTACTCCAGTACATATACTGCCATGGGGGCTGGATTAAATCAACCGGCAGGCCAGATTAGGCCCCTGAATTGGATTTTGGACATGCCTGGTTTAGAGAATGCATATAGAAATGATAAATCATCTCTTGGCTCTAAAAATTTGCCAAATGAAGGGTCAATCTGCAGTGTGGCATTTTCAAAATTCTTGATAAATCCAATCCAATTAATTTTTTTAAACCGCAAATGGAAAAAATAATCATTAGTGCATAATTCTGTAGCTCAGAAAGATGCATCTATCAGCATGGCTACAAAGCTTCAATAATTATCTTCCAACAGTAATCTGGGAAACCTGCTTCTGTTTCTAACGCCACTAATGGGTTGTTAGAAATGCTTTAAAGGTTACTTTTTCAACATGGAAATCTGGGTTTCAATTTTTTTTGGCGGGGGAATGTAATCCTCTTGACAGCAACATGAAACCAAATTGAGAAAATAAATTCAACCTGGCCCTATAGAAATGTGTAGTGTAAACTATTCTGAAGGAAGAAAAACATCTTCTTTTCCCCAAACAGTTAATGGATCTTTGACTATCAAAGCTGGCAACTTGACAGTAAGAGAGAACCAAACAACTGAGATAATTTGTGAAGCTCTTGGATGGGCTCCTGCTCCACAGATTTCCTGGATGGTAAATAATATTATATTAGATAATTCCATGTACATTACCAACCAGAGTCAAGGATCAAATGGCTTGTACAATGAAGAGAGCATCTTAACCCTGACACCAGTGACCAGTAGCACTGTGACTTGCTTTGTCGCTATAGATGCACTCCCTGAGCCACAGAATGCAACTGTGACACTTACTGTGTATCAACCTCCTTCAAGTAAGTGACTATCCTGTCACTTTCATTTCTTTCTTTCTTTCTTTCTTTCTTTCTTTCGTTCTTTCGTTCTTTCGTTCTTTCTTTCTAACATTTATTCAAAAGTTACCATACAACTTTGCCATAATATCACAAAATGATCACTCTAATCCTCAATCCCACATCACTGTCATGTTCAAAATCTTTAATTTCTTGTTATGCAATCTAATATACATGGCTGAAAGGTACTGTACTTGGCTTTCGATCATGGCTAAAATATTGGTGGGACATACATTCACAGACTAGATGAAATTTGGTGAGTTTCATGAAGATGGCTCTGGAATGGCCCTAGCTTTGGCCCTGTGGCTTTTGACAGCCTACAACTTCCATCATCCTTGACCACTGATCATGCTTGCTAGGGCTGATGGGTTACAGCGCACAAACACCTGGAAGGCCACAGGTTCACCATCCCTACTCCAGGTGCTTCCATGTCCAATTATTAATGTACAGTACCAACAATGGACATGAATGAATATCTTCTTCCGCAGATTTAATGTGCCTATTCTTAGAGAATTTGGATAATTGTTTGAGACTGGAAATCAACCATGTAATCACATGATCATTCTTTTGATCCATATTTATTGCATTTATATTAGTCACAAAAGCATTTCTTACACAAGACCTATCCTGTGATTTTGGAAATTGCTTCAAAGAATTTAATTGTGTCTAAAGGACGTAACAACACACCTCCAATTTAGCTTTTGTAGTTCAATCACTAATGGCAGCTAGAGAATTATGCCTTCTTTAGATAAAAAGGGCTGCATGCAAAACTGACCATTGGATACTATGCTTTTTGCAGAATTATATGTAATGAATCAGGCAGATTTAATATGTGAAGTAAAGAACCAATAAATACTATTTCTCTGGGCTGTTAGGATTCAGAATTGCTCTAAGAGTTTTAATAATTATAACTGTACAGACTTGCAATAAAAGTTTGAGGGTTAATTCTTGCATGAACACATATCACTGCTGGTATGACCTTTGCCTTATGGCTTTTTTTGACAGGAACAGAATGCCGAAAGAGGCAGAGCAAATTGTTTCCCAAAAGCTGTTCTCAAAATTCTCCATTTTAGGTGCTGATATTGAATATTCTCTAGATATTCTTTGCCTGCTCAAATATGTGGATTCTGATTCTTTAACACCCAATGATGCTTGATTCCAATATTTGATACTTGATAATTGATAGAATGTGAGAGTTGGTAGGCAATTTTATTTAGTATTTGTCTATACTTCTAGTATATCACAATGATATACTTTTAAGTTTCTGCTTTCAGTGAGAATGCTGCAGCTGGCAAGATGCAATTGCATGATTGCTGACTCAAATATGCCCTAGATGGCATCAGCAGTCTGCAACTGTGTTCACTGCATGGTGCTGGCTGTCGCGCACACAGCCCTCCACCAACTGCATCCTGGTGCTTAAAGGCATGGACAAAAGTTTCCCTTCCATCCTTGATCACCACATAGTAGCAGCCAGTGTCCTAGTTGAAAGTTACACACCTGCTTCCTTACATTAGTCCAACCAGTAGCACAATTGGTCCAATATTGTCCACTCTGTCCATCAGCTCTCCAATATCGCAAGAAATCTTTCCGAGCACTGCTATCTCAGGTCTTAAATCTGGGATCTTCTGCATACAAAGGAGGCATTCTGCCACAGAGAAATGATTCCTCCCAAAGTTACACATTGATTTTTATTATTGGCAACCCTTAGTATGTTAAATGAGGCAAAGACGGCTGATAAGAGGCAGAAGTGATTGCTTTATTTGCATCAATTGTTGGGCAAGGTTTCCTGGTCATAGTTTCCTGGTCATAGGCTTCCACTTTGTACTCCATTTGTACCTTGGGGACCCATTTCCTTGTGTGTTTCTGTTCTAGATATGACCAGAGTAGATGTTTCTAATTACTGACTAAGCGAAACAGAATCTATCAGGAAGATTCTGTTTTGTGGCTGATGGGGGAATTAATAAACCCTCTTGTCTAGCTGTCACTCTGAAGAAGCAGCCATATTCAGTTGCCATAGTGACATGATGTAACTCAGAATGGAAGAAAAGCAGATGTCACAAAGTGCAATTACGGTGTACTTACTGATTTATCTAGGAACATTCTTCATTTTATTCCCCGAGAAGCTGTTTATGCAGGAGGAGAAACATGTGAGTTGTCAGGGTTGGAGTACATAAAAATCTTTTAATGATTAGGCTGAAATTGAGATATGTCAGCAGTAATGAAGAAAACCGCCTCTCCTCTCTCTTACACACATTACTTTATATGCCATTTCATAGTTTCCTGACAGCTTTCTTTAGTGTTTTGTGTGGTCACCATTCACCGGGCTGAAGGAAATTTCAATGGGAGGGGGAGCCATCTATTACAATGTAAAAGAGATTAATTTAGAAGCATGCACTTCAGTCACCAGAATCAGGCCTGTTCTCCTTGGAGGAAGTGTGAAGAACACTTAAACTGGTGAGGTTGTGAAAGCAGGTGGTGGAGGTGTTGGCTCTTGCCAAAAGGGCGATGGGAGATTTTTGATATTTTAGGACTCAGAAGTGCCCCATAGAGTATACCTTTTAAAGTCCAGTGGGCCTGCCACTTACACTCACCTTCTGCTATTGCAACCTTATACAGAGGTGGGGGAATAAATCAATGGAGTGGTGGGACATTAGGATGTCTTTGGTCCCTTCCTCCACTGTCTCCAAGGACAAGGAGGGGCTTAAAGTGCCAGTGCAGCAGCAGGAGAAGCCACAGGTTGCTGTCAAACTTAAAATCCATTTAAGTTTAGGAAGAGACATGGCTATGCTGTTGCTTCAGTGGTCCAGTTCAGGGCTCAAACCTGGGACATAGATGCCTAGCCAGCTATGTAGCAGGAATGGTGAGTATATCCTTTGCACCTGAGGAGATGCTGTAATTGAGTGTCTTACCAATAAAGAACTAACACTCATTTGTTCTCCTTGTGCTGGGTGTGCTCAGGACAACATACTAGTCTCTGAGTATGAGAGACGTCAGGAGTGCCGTATTATGGGTTTGGAATCCTTGGAATGAAGGTGACTGGAGACTGTGTGTTTTAGTGATATGTTTTTTATTTACACATATATACAAGCTAAGCAGAAGATGAAGAGGCTCACAGCATTAACACTCAGCCTAACAGATCTAACTTGCCCATTTGGCTTCAGGTCTCCCTCTGCGTTAGGGCTTTGGGTTCAGCACAGAGTGCAAGGCCATGTAGGCACCCCCATTTATTTTGTGAGCAGTATGCTCCCACCACAGGTTTGGGAAGTGGTGTACACATGACATTAGTCAATGTCCATATACATCTTGCATCTATCCTGTCATTTCTTAGGAAATAGTGTGTTTTGATGTACACTCCCCACCAAAACTAGCTTTATCGGAATTGAGAGAAAGAACCACCTAGCTGAATTTTAAGCAGGTAATGTGTAAATGACCATCTCCATGTCATCCCATCTCCACTCTAGCTCACACCTTGCCAATTGTTCTCCTACACCTAGGATAAAGTGTCTAGTTGTTTCTATGGCAACATAGCCAGATCTTTAGTCATGTAAAAAGGATGCTTAACAAGTTTGACTAGGGCCATTAACTTGACAAAGAGACTGATTTGACCACTGCGGCAGTTCCTTTTACAAGAAAATCCCATATTACAAACAGAAAAACTAAGGGCTTAGAAGGAGCCCCAAATGGCAAACCAACCAACCCCCCCCCCCCGGCCCCCCGCCTCCCGCAATCCTGCAACACTATATAAAGTGGCAATGCTGCAGTGGGAATTCAATCAGATCTTTCATACATTTAACCCAAAGATTTAAGGGAAAACTTTGGAAACTTGAGGGTTTAATGTGTAAACAGCTATGGTGTGTTTTGCACAACAATGCCAATTATAATCAAAAGCCTTCTCTCATCTGATGTGGTCTACAGCTATGATAATGCTTTTAAGATAGATGAAATATAAAGCCAGTGAAGAGGACTGTTCCGATGAAACACATCTGTTGAATTAACTTTTTAATTGGATGCATAGTTTATTAGACTAGGAACTAATTTTCGCCCACATATTCCCTTCTCCTGCCTCTTCCATGCCACACTTTCCCACTACAGCCAAATTGGCTACTATGGCTATAGAGCGGAAACTGATGCATGAAATCAGAATCTGTTGAAATAATAAAAATAAAATAATAATGTATCTGGCAAGGACTCTTGGACTTCTAGAAGCTGCAACAGGGTAACATTACTTAAGAAAGCACAGCAGTCTATGAGTAACTCATTAAATTCATAGGGAGACGTGCATATTTTACTGTGCTTCTTAACATTTATTAATTTTTATCTAGTAGCAGGCGATGACGGACGAACTCGAACTATAATTTTAGCAGTTGTATTGTCAGTTGTTGGTTTCCTCCTCCTGATCCTTATTATTCTGCTTATTATCTGCTGCTGCAAAAGAAGGAAAGGTACGTGGGCTCTCTGAACCATTTCATAGAATCATAGAATCATAGAATCATAGAGTTGGAAGAGACCACAAGGGCCATCGAGTCCAATCCCCTGCCAAGCATGGAACATTTAAAACATGGAATTATTTAAGGAGGGAGATTAGGTCCAAAGAACTGACTTTTGTGACAGTGGCAGATTTCTACTTGTATTCTTGATAAATGTAGATACGAACACTAGAAATAACCGGGAGAAAGACTGGGACTTAAACACTGATGGTGAGGAATGGAATTCAATGTGGCATAAATTCCCTTATAAATCAACCTCAATCAAATATAGAGAAACAGCCCGGACCAGAGGGGAAACTGTTCCTCATAATCTGCTGTTAAATTTCTTAATGGTATACAATCCAGTGGTGAGCAATTTGTAAATAAAAAGCAATTGGAAATGACAAGACTGTTTGAAACGCACTGTTAACTGTTTACACATCAAGCCCTCAGTTACTGGCACAGCTAATTTGAGAAGTTGCTTTACCATTCCTCTCTGCAAGTGCAGCATTATGCATAAAAAGTAAACGATTCCAGCCAACACCAGGGCACAGACTGCCTCTGTTGTGCTTGTTCCCTGGCAGTGTGGCCAGGCCATTCTCTTCAAACGCAGGTCTTCCTGCACGGATAACCCTGGAGTTTCCAGCGAGCTGCTCTTCCGCAGAGCCCCATTCTGTTGTGGGGGAAGGAGAGGGTGGCAGCTGGACGCAGTCTTGGAGTGCCTTGACTTGAATAGTCTGCTTGCAGCCTGTTATAGAAATAGTGGTACATAGGTGCATGTGTGCGGAGAAAGGATAATAGGGTGGAGGGTGGTGGGTGGTGGACGGTGTCCCATTGAGCCACACCACACCCTGCTTTCCATGTGCAAAGGGAGCAAGATTGCAGCCCAAGCTTCAGAGGAATTTGCTGCAGAGTGATTACTTATTTTTGAGATATACAGTCGTACCTTGGTTTTCGAACAGCTTAGTTCTCAAACGTTTTGGCTCCCGAACGTCACAAACTCGCAAGTGACTGTTCCGGTTTGCGAACTGTTTTTGGAAGTCGAACGTCCGACGGGGCTTCCGCAGCTCCCTGCAGCCAATCAGAAGCGGCGCTTGGGTTTCCGAACGTTTTGGAAGTCGAACGGACTTCTGGAACGGATTCCATTTGACTTCCAAGGTACGACTGCATAGAAAAAATGTATAGCATAGTGATCCTACATGTGAGTTATGAAGGGAAGTTCTTCCTGCCTACAATAATTCTCTCTCTTGTTTGAATGAGGAGTCCAGGTCCACACAAGCAGAGCACCTCCTTTTTACTTGAATGACTGAGGGTGTCTGTGCATGGACAATCTCAGTTTGAGCGCTGGAGCACCTTTATGTATTAAATTAATATATTTAAGAAGACTTAAGAGTGTTCTTTTCAAATAAATTGCTATTTTTTTTTAGAATATATTCTAAAATCTGACCTTTCCCCCCAGACTCCAAGTATCAAGAGGAGATGAGGTAAGCTGATTATCATTTTTGTTTCACTCATTTAGTAAAATTTCTATTTATTATTTTGCCCAGCTTGGCCTGTGGTCAGGGATGATGAAAGATGCAATTCAACAACATCTTGAGAGTCACAGGTTATCCCCCCTCTATTATTAGATTTGAAACGTACAAAGCCAGGAAGATACAAACTATTTGCCAAGGATAATATGTATATTTTCTTTTAAAATGTCCAGATGAAAATAAAAGAGAAAAAGAGATTCTATTTCATTATAAATTTAAGTGATTTTAAATTGCTGAATTATCTGTCATCATCACATAACATTTGACTGCATGAATAATACATGATTTACCTTTAATACCCTTTAACTTTAATAGCAACATGACTCCAAACTGAAACTTTGATCCATCAAAGAACTGTTTTGCATTGGAACATTCTTATAGTAGCCTTAATATGTGCAACATATTTCATTTCATATATTTGAGTTAAAACATTTTTATACCACCCTTCATTTTAAAATTCCAAGGCATTTTGCAACACATAAATACTCGGTGGAAACAGGGCACTAAATGCTGCAATTACAGCAACAACCACGGGAGGTCACTGTGCACCAGAATAGCTCATGCCTCCTAGCTCAAGTAATGATTACAGTGGATATGCCAATTCTACAGGCTCTTCGAGTATAGAATTTCTGTTGTACAGAAACAGAACTGAAAGCGAGACAGGTTGGCATATGTTAATTGTAACCAACTGGTAGGCAAATTAGATGACATTCTCTGCTTTTCTAAGACTTATTTGAAAGCAAACTTTGGAGAGAGGAAAAAAGATGTTTGGTAACAAATTGCTTCTAGCTTTGCAAAATTAGTTTTGACCACTTAAAATGAAGTAAGCTAATTGTCTTTATGCTAGAATGCATTAGGTTGTTGAGCTTTAAAATGTAAGAGATCTTTCATCTGTATTGAGAAGCTGTTAATCAATATTGAACGGAAACTTTAAAATGACGTCATTGTGGGAAAGGTTTGCCAGGGTTTTTGTTTGCATTCATCTTCAAGACTGAAAGCTATCCTTTGCCGTCAGAGGAAAGAAGGAAACTTAATTCTGATTTGGGCTAATCAGTGCAAATGCTGATCTAGGTATGCCATATTTTGTTTCACCTTAGCTTGGCAGTTAAATCATTCACTGAGTTCTAGAAAAAAGGATCTGGCTCACAATCTATACAAAAACCCCTCACATTTCAGAATTGATATTTTATGGCAAAATGCTAATTGTCATTAAAATGTATTACTTGCTGTTCAAGAAAGTGGCAGAGATTAATCATGCCGGATTGGTCTGTGCTACACTACCCGGATCTCCAAGCGGTGCGAGATTCCAGGGCTTGAATTTCCTTTGGGAATGAGGCACAGTGGAGACCATGGTGTCTTTATGATATATGGTTTATTTACACATATACACAACCTGAGCCTACAGTGGTTCACGGCATTAAGGGTCTTGTTTCTTGTTTGAACTTTGGATTCAAGCAGAAATTAAACATTGTGCTGTGCCTCTCTGGCGTTCCTGCCTGTAGCTTCACTTCTGGGTCACATTACACACACTAAATGCTGGCCTTTTGCCATTCTCACTATCTAAGAGTTAGAGGAGGGCCCCCACTCATCTGCTGTCTGGCCCAGAGCCCCCTCTCACTTACTTTCTTAATGGCCCATCACCCAGGTAATTACCTGAATAGGAAAGCTAGCCCGGCTTATTTAGCTTTTAACCCTTGCTGCGTCCAGGGATTATGTGTCTGTTGTCCAGTTTAACACCCCAAACCTTGATTAAATTCTAACACTTCACTGGATCCAAGAATTTAGTGGAGTCTAGCACCCACAAACTCACAACACATCCAAGGGTACTTGCAGTTATTGCAAGTTGTTGAAGGGGATTTAGTTGGTTCAGGACTTGTGAGAGGGCAATGCACGGGTTTTGTACTGAGAAGAGGACTCTGGTCCCAGACTGCTCCCCTTTCCCTCTTTTATTACAGCTAAAGCAAAGGCAGCAGACTCCCCATCATGCATTTCTTAGTCAATACCCAGGAATGGGACTTGCACAATAGAGCTACAATAGTTGGCTTGACTCCTTTTGCCTGGCATCTGACACTGCGTTTCTGTAACAGCTGATGTATAGAATAAGCCCAGAAAGCAGATTAAATTTAATACTTCGGCTTAAAAACAGCACTGGATCAGGCTGTTCCTTAGCTAGTTAGTAACTATGTACTGAAAGCTTTGAGAGCATGCCAAAAAGCTACTAATGTATTACTTTTGCAAGTTGTACCTGGAGTAAAAACTGCTGAATTCAGAGTTTTTGGTAAATTAGATATGAAGTGAACCCAGAGACCATGCTTCACTTCTGTCCCCAGAACAAACTCACTCTCATAGTATCGCCCACTAAGTACACAAAAAGTCCCATAAATTCAATATAGGTGATAGGTTAATAATAGATAGTAAGCAGCGGTACTGGCTGACTTAACATGACCCCTTAAATTGTCTATCTGCCATAAAGCTGAAAAAATGAGGAAAGTCTTTTGTGGTTGCACTGAAAGATCTCAAATGACAGGGGTTCAAAGGTAAGCATTTTCTATTTTCTAGAAAGTCATCAGAAAAGAAAACTGCTGATAAAAATTTGGAGACAGACAGACACAGTGGACAAGAAAATTATGCATACAGTCCAGAGGATACAAGGCGTGCTGGGCAAATGACAGGTGAGCAAAAACTGTGTTTGGGAAAATTTCTATACATCACAAAAATGCATGTGAAATGCTTCTCTGGAGCACTTGGATGGGCAGAGAATAGCCTGAATATTTGTTTTGTTCTCAGAACAGTGGGATATTTGGCTACCACTGTGTGACTTGAAAAGCTAGGATGAATTGACCGAGGACCCGAAGCCTGGTTTGGCCAGTGTGTGGCATCAAGCTGAAATCAATGAACTGTTTCCTCTAGAAGTCATTTAAGGGCAACTTTCAGTGCCCGCTTCCCAAACATATTAGTCATCTGTGCAAATGGCCCTCTATGCAGGACAATGCGTTTCCTAGGCATGTGCTTCCAGTCATTTCTGGTCAACGTGTCTAAAGGTACCATGCGGCTGATAAATATTAATGTTATATATGCGTATCTTAAATCCTCAACTCAATCCTTCTCTATTTTAAGTGGTTTGAGGATGGTAGCCATGAATATCGGTTAAGTTATGCACAGCAATCCTAAGCATACAAACTGGAAAGCGAGATTTATTTCAAAATCAGTTGCAGCTTAATTTGATTATTTTTTAACAAAATGAATTATAAAATTCTTTTTTAACCCAGTGGTACACTGTATAAACCCATATGCCAAGCATGAATAATAAGGTAGTATGGTGTCATCTGAATATCCTGATTCGATTCCAAGCTTCATGTTGAGCAGCAAAAGTGAGATAGCAGCACTGCTGAAGCAGGGCCCTGTGGCAAGAGAAGCAGGCATACAGACTCCCCTTCCTAAAGCGTCTTGTTGAAAATACTGCCTAGAATAATGAATATTTACTTCCTCCCAGGAGCTCAAGGTGGCCTACATCGTTCTTCCCCACCCACTTTTATCCTCACAACAACTCTCTGAGGTTGAGAGAAAGTGACTGCCCAAGGTCACCGCAGTAAGCTTCAGGGCTGAGTGTGGATTTGAACCCTGGTCTCCCAGGTTCTTATCCGAAATTCTAACCACTATGCAACGCTCCCTATATTCCATTACCCTGGAAAAGATGTGCACAGATGCCATGATTAGGTCCCGAAGATGGATAGATAGAAAAACAGACACACAAGCCTTATGTAGTGTCATGCTATGCTATATGTGCAGTATGTGCACTCATTGTTCACTTCCGTGTCTTACCCTACACATACCGTATACGCAGGGAATGTATGTGAACCTTAGTGTGAGTTACATGTTAACAAACTTGACAAAAGCATTTGGATTGAATGCTCAAATAGATAATCTTTGTGCAGCTTGTTGGGTCATGATTACATTGGTCTTCCTTCAGTGCAGAACAAGCTGCACTGAAGATAGTCCTACTGTAACCCAACCATTTATAAATGGTGCAACCTGCAGTGGATTTGCCAAGGGGTACATTGGAGTGCTTGAATAGATAAGTCTCCACAAATTTCTTAGCAGGGTTTTAACAAAGCACCCACCCAATTTACAGCAAAGTATTCTGTTTCATGAAGAGCGGTCTGTTCTCTTTACACAAAAAGGACATCTAAAAATACCTACATTTGTTTGTATTCTGAAATGATTTATAGTTCCTGCCATTCTGAAGAATCAATAACAGTTATCCTTTGTATATTGTCTTGCAGGAGTTCCCTCTTTCTCCCCAGATAACTCTAGCCTGTACGCTCCAGACGGGGATTTAGACGTGAATCCTGCATCACAGGTAATTGGAACAAGTCTTTTACAGACTGTGACATATTCCATAAACATGTAATGGACTTAAGTGATGGTTTCTAAAAGGTCTGGAATTTTTTATTTTTTTGGGGGGGGGGGGAATGCATTCTAGCTTCTGTCCTTAATGCTCTCTTAGTCTATTGAATGTTCTTTCAAAAATATCCTTAGCACAGCAAAACAGCATTTTCAAAACATGCAATTCACATCAGAAATTTGGATACAAAGATTAATATTTACAAAAGAATAAAACAGCATCATCTTGAATGCTTGGTCTAAGATTTCATGCACCCTGGGACTTCAGCTTGGAGAGGGTGGTTCTGAGTTGGAAATTGGGCTGTGGGGAAAGGGTTAAGCCCCCTTCTCCTTGTTGTTGCTTCCATTAAATTTGTAGCCTCCTGCAGCATACACAAACGCACACACCTTGGGAGACTTTTACGTCTTTGCTGTGTAACAGCAGACAGTACTTTACATCACCTGTGTGCTTTATAGTACAAGCAGTGAACACAATTATGCAGGACACCTGCCTGAGAATCGTGAGAAATTTGCAGACGTGAAAATAAGAGGTACACACTTGAGTGGAATCCATAGAGTTGATTCTTTGTGAAGGAACAAACGCAAGGCCCACGTGGCCAACATTTGGGCTGGTAAATTCCAAACAGACAAAATTGCTTCCACTCTAACCAACAGACCACAGGAGAGCCCCCACTCTCTTCTCATTCCCCGACGCATGCTGCCTCTATTATCCCCCCTTTTCTTTCCTGCCCCAGTTTATACTGTAATAGGATTGAGGGTTGGGCTGGATGATCACAAGATCCTTCCCAACTGAGTGATACTTTAGTGGTAAGGCTGGCATATAGGTTTATTGCAGAAAAGAATTACATGTTTCAAGGTGAAAATAGTAAAAAAAAAAATCGGTACCCTTGTACATGCCTAGCCAGTTGCCCTCTGAGTGTAAAATATTTTCAGTAAGAAGACAGGAATGATCCTGCAGTGACCAGCATCACATCTAGTGGGCCTAGGCTCTGACGTGGTACCTGACTGCTCCTCTCTAGGTGGGCACGTGGGGCCCAGGGCTTCAGCCCCCCCCCCCAGTCCAGCCCTAGTTGCACTGCTTGCTTTCCCCCATCTCCCTCCTCCTCCTTTCTTATTTCATATCCTTTTCATGGCAAGGCTTCATTGCTACAAGCACAATACAAGACAGGAGCATTTTGAATTATGCTCTTTGTTCAATTATTTGTGAATTTCGATGGGGTATCTGGCTATTGAATGATTTATTGGTCTGGCAGTAGGTCATTGTGCAAAGCTGAGGCTACTGTGTTGGCTATTAAGATCGGGAATGCTGTATTTCAAAGAGTTTTGTGTTTGGATCATACTGAAAACATGCCTTGAGCCTGCAATTTGCAGAGTTTTTGCCATATATCGTAGTCTGCTTGCATTTTCTGTTTGCGCCAGCTTGCCAGGACCTTCCAGGTTCTGTCACATTCAATGCCAACAAATGATAGCGCTGATCTTAAATAGCATTTCTTGCATATATGATGGCACATAAACCACGTACCCATCACTCAGATCCAGTTTCCTGGGAACCTCACATTTCAGATCTTTTGCTTACTTTATTAGCTATCTCAGGGAGATTCCATAACTTGTGAATATTTTCTCATGATGACTCGTGATAGACTTGGGGATGCATCCTTTGAACCACCAAGTCTCAGAAGTCTGAACCCTATTTTTTCTCTCCCTTTGATTGGTGTCTGAGCAGGCCAATTTTCTGATATTACTCTCCCTCTCAGGGTAACACAGAGGTCAGTTTCCTTTAGAATGTTTGTTCTTAGAATGTATGCCTTTTTCAATCTGTTTGATTTAGAGCCCGGAGAACAGTTGGTGTTGAAAGAACAGATCAAAGTCACCTTAACTGTGGGGCTATCTCTTGATTGAGAGAGTCAGGCAATTGCAGGAACAATAAAGCATCATGAAGAGCGAAGTAGATCAATTTCATAATGACCTAGTCTGTAAGATCAGGTGGCTTTGCAGGAGGATGGTGTAGGTTACAAAGAAGTTCTATTTTAACAACACCATGCCCAATCAACACACTTAAAAAAATTAGTATTTCCCTGTAGGTGTCTTCATGACCTTAGACTTAACCTGACACCAATTTCTGGGCTCATCACTGAATGTTGTAGGATGGCTTTTCCCATTTGAGAACATGACAAACAGTTGCTGCATTGCACTGCGAACAAGGCAATCATTTGATAACTGTGTTCTTGCTCTATCAAAATTTACCAATGGCTTCTTTCTTAGTTTTTGGATACATCTAGTGGGTATAAAATTTCATTTTTTTAAGGAATGAGGTTTTATCTGCAGTATCAAATGAAAGTGACTTTAAAATAAAAATAATCTAGCTCAGGAGTCAGCAAACTTTTTCAGCAGGGGGCCAGTCCACTGTCCTTCAGACCTTGTGGGGGGGCCGGACTATATTTTTTTTAAAAAATGAATGAATTCCTATGCCCCACAAATAACCCAGAGATGCATTTTAAATAAAAGCACACATTCTGCTCATGTAAAAACACCAGGCAGGCCCCACAAATAACCCAGAGATGCATTTTAAATAAAAGGACACATTCTACTCATGTAAAAACATGCTGATTCCTGGAGCATCTGTGGGCTGGATTTAGAAGGCGATTGGGCTGGATCCAGCCCCTGGGCCTTAGTTTGACTACCCATGATCTAGCTTCACCAGTTCTGATAGTGCCCTTGTGCTGAGTTATGGGGAGCCTCAGAGTACGCACCTTGCCTGTGACTCTTGGCATATGCCAATCAGGTGCCCTGAGCCATCTCTTTGCTGAGACGTTCCAGGGGATGGGCACCTCATGATCAGCAAGGCTACAGGCACCTGCCTCTTCAAGCCCACCTGCTGAAAACTCTCCAGTCTTTTTTTTTTTTACTCTACTTCCCAGTAAGCAACAGCGAGATGACCAACCGATGTCAGGTGAGTGGTGATAACCCAGCTGCTATCTGCTGTTGACAAAAACTCATTTCATTTTATGAAGCTACCATTGTTTCCCCTGAGTCACAAAAAACAACAAGTGAAGGTTACTTTCTTTAACTTGAGCCTTTAATTGGGCACATTTGTAGCATGCACTGTCTGGTGCACAAAGCACTGTTGGATGAATTTGAAAGAAGCATTAGTAGGCGAGTCTTTCTGTCACAGTGTTTGTCACTGCCTGCAAATCAACATGAAAGTAGATTAAATGGCAGCACCTTCTATTGAAGATCTCATGGTTGACAATAGATGCAAATTGTTAGGCATCTGGAAATTTGGCAGCATTTTTGCATTTCTGCTCACGACGTCAAATCAGACCGACAGGAATCTGGATTTTTCTGTTGTGGGGAACAGAAGGCTTCTGTTAGTGCTATTGTGATACAGTGATGATGTCAATGGAAGAGGCATAAGTGCATGCATAGCTTGGCCTACAAGATCAAGGTGGAATACTTCTGAAGCTGCTTAAGCTCATGAGATCACACCAGGTCAAATGCCTCTCCCCCATAATCTGAAGTGGAATCCTCAGAGGAAGTTGGGTGTTGAGTGATCATCTTCCAAGATTCATGACTGCCTGATTTATTATGAAGTTGAAATAGGAGATTTGTCCATCCCTACTGAAAAGGGGCACAAGCAGTATATACTAACCACAACCTCAGTTCTCCAAGAGCTAGCCCAAAAACAGCAGTAACCATTCGCAAGAGGGATATATCTCAAGGAACAAGAGATTTGCAAAAGTCCAGAAAAATCATTAAGAGAAAATAGGTGCTGCATGGATTACGACAAAAAAAGAGCCCAATGTGGACTGAGTATGCTTAGTGGGCATGTGATACTGACTGCTCAAGAAGAAGAAAAACGGAAAGCTAAGGAATATCCTGGAAGAAGGGATGACTGCGCAGGAGCCTTCCAAAATGCAATATTCTGTTGCAGGTCCCACTTGTTTTTGACAACTGGAACACATTCAAGAAAACTTGCAAATGAGCAATGGAGTATCAAATCCTAGGACTTTTATGACAGCATATCAACCATAAGGGCTCAGTATCACATAAGTCCTAGAATCCAACTCTTCATTGCTCATTTATACAACAAAAGTGGATTTTGTGAGCCCTTGTGGTTGCTAAGAAACTTATACTTCAAACCTGGAAGGATAAATACCCAGCATCTACTACGCAATGGTCTGAGGATCTCCCTGCCCTGGCGACATTTGAACATTTTTCATATAGACATCAATTTTGTGTGGATACCTATTTGGACAAGTGGATTACTTATTTTAACTTAAGATACTGATCAAAGTGCCTTCTCTCTGAAAAAAACTACTGGCTTCTTTGTGTGTGCATGTGCTGAGTAATTACTGTCCAAAAGAGAATTATATAACCAATGCAAAGTCTTGAGAATTCATATGCTGAAGGCATCAGTGGAATATTGCACTACAGTGTTAACCTAAAAAATCTCAGAGTCCTCAGTACAATAGGCAAGTTCCATCACATCCACCCTGGCGAGGTGTTGGAAGGGGATTCCCTTCCTCTAGAGCAGCCCAACTTTCTGTAGCATGAGGGGGCAGTGGGAGGTTCCATTTGCACAAGGGGAAGTCACAAACTAGATGCCTCTAGGGCATGAGTGATTCGGGCAAGCCCAGCCATTTTTAGATAGGGTCATGGCTGGCATACCAACCTTAGCTGATAAAAGGCTACCTAGCTACTGCTGCCACTTGCGCATCCCTGGTGAGCATCAAGTCCAGGTGAACCCCCAGACTATGAGCTCGGTCCTTTGGAATGCAAGGGCTTTGATGTAGCCAAGAAGCAATGGGTGTCCACTCCTGATAATGCAACCTGTATGTTTATGGTGTTCTGCTTCCTTTTCTTGCACAGATCTCACCACAGTTTTCTAGCTCATCAGAGTCTCTTCAACGTATCTCCCCTGCCCCATCTTTTCACAACGTTAATCAACGTTCACAAAAAGGCACAGCACAGCAATCCCGGACTATTCCTACAGTGCGATTCAGAAGCGTCTCTTCAAAGTCCCACAAATCCAGAGCTCCCCAGCTACGTGGTTCAAAACTACACCCCCATATTTACCGATCTGATGGCAAACGTCGCTACACCAGGAAGGTGTACCCACAAAGGTGGCAAGCTGGTGGCCAGCATAGATACACGAGGAGGCCAACACACCATCCTGAACAATCAAAGGCCCAAGATACTCAAACCCACCATTCCAGGAAGCAGCATTTGCCTCACAGAGGACAACAGAAGGAGAGTCCACCTCGACAAAGTGAGCCTCACTCCCAACAGAGGCTGCAAGAATTCCAGAAAAAACAATTCTATCCTGGCACCAGGACAAAGGTGCTCAGAGTTCAGCCTCCCCAATAAAGGAATTACTATTATTACTGATGATGATGGGGAACCAGAAGTCCAAGCCCAGCACATCTGAGGTCTCTGCATTATATTTGGACCAAGAATCTCCCAATGTCCATAAAAGTAGTTTAGGGTGCAATCCAAACTTCCCAAACAGGTGGACGGGCAGAAGTGGACCCGTGGATTTCCTGTTAGTGTCTGCAGTGGAAGCCAGCAGAAAGCCCTCAGATGGGGTGTTCCATGGATGGTTTGAACTGCCTGGGTTCAACTGGATCCTAGGTTGCCCCACTGCCATCAAATGACAGCATCAGGCCCAATCCAGACCTGATTGCTGCACCACCTCCAAGCTGACACAGCAGCTTTCCTGCCTTATCTTCCGCCATTGGAGCCAACTCCTAGGAGCCAAGAGGTCTTTGCTCCCCCCCCCAAAAAAAATATTTGAGGGAGCCAGGCTCCACCCAAGTTGATGGGCATTGCTATTCAAATGGGGTGTGTGCACCATGTCATGTGATTGATTATGCGAGGCGGGGCTTCCCTGGGCCACCCAACATGTTATTCAAGTTGGCACCCTGTCTTCTACTCCATCCAACATATGTGACAGGGCTGTGGAAGCTCCACTGATCAGCGGTTAGGGATAGGGTTGTGCTCTTACTTTTTTTATTATTATTAAGCAGAGTTACTGTTTTTTTGCAACTTTTGAATATCTTCACAATTGTGGAAATGTGAACTACATACTTTGTAATTCTATGCCCACTTACCTCAATGACTTGTTTACTCACTCAGTAGGACTTATTTCTGATTGCACTTCTGTTCTTTTTGCTGGGAACAAATGAGATTGGATTTTTTTTATTTTTGCCATCTTTGCTTAACAAACTAGGTCCTATGAATGAAAATATGCTTTTTTCCCTGAGATGTCTATGAAGTGAAATGAGTAGGGAAAATTCCCGTTGAATTCCACAGCATTTAGGTCATGCTTTTAGGACTGTAGCTAATCCTGAAAATTTGATGACACTGAATTTAAAATTGAAATATAAATTTGCTAAATGAAATAAACAAAATGCCATGGTAATTTCTGGACATGTATTTCTGTCCTTTATTTATATTAATACATGATATTATTTATTACATTTATATCCTGCTTTTCCATCATGGGCCTAAAGGTGGTGATCATGCAGTTACTGGGGTTATTTTCTCTCTCTACAAACAATAAATAAGAGGGCCATTAGATAACCAAATCCCAAATTAAAAAGCATTCAAAATGTTTGCCAGATAGAATTAGAAATACATCCACTCCGTTGTCCTAATGAATTTATAACATAAAACAAATTAGACAAGTAATTAAAGGAGAAATTAATGCATTAAAAGGGAAAATGGAATCATGAGGCTCAGTCACTTTTGTAAATGGCCCTATTAGGATTTATTGAATGAAGGAGAAAATAGCTGACAAGCAAAATGAGCAGGGTGGGGGAAGGATCCAAAATCTCTTTGTGCGAGGACCAGTAGGGATCCAATACGAATGTAGCAAGCAAGAGGAAGACGAAGGTGACAGAATTCTGTTGAGGGACATATTTTTTTAATTCAGTAGAGTGATGGGAGTGTCTTGCTTATTGCGCATTAATTAATTAGTTCCCAACTACTCATTAAAGCCAGATGGTCCACTAGACAAACATAAATGTAAAGGACCCCTGGATGGTTAAGTCCAGTCAAAGGCGACTACGGAGTTGCGGCACTCATCTCGCTTTCAGGCCAAGGGAGCCGGCTTTTGTCCCCAGACAGCTTTCCTGGTCATGTGGCCAGCATGACTAAACTGCTTCTGGCACAACGGGACACTGTGACAGAAGCCAGAGCGCATGGAAACGCCATTTACCCTCCTGCTGCAGCAGTACCTATTTATCCACTTGCATTGGCATGCTTTCGAATTGCTAGGTTGGCAGGAGCTGGGACAGAGCAACGGGAACTCACCCCATCAGGGGATTTGAACTGCCAACCTTCCAATTGGCAAGCTCAGTGGTTTAGACCCCAGCCTACTGAGGGGGCAGTGTGTTGCCATTAGTTAGAAATGCCACTGCTGCACCAAACCCAGAAAAGATGGGTCACCCTGTGGCCAAGGGAAAAGAGGAGAAATCAACATGCAAGGAGAGGTGAATGCAGGTGGCAGAAAGAGCGAGTGGAACCAGAAGGGGAGAAGGGAGTGATTATTTATGCTAAGCAGGTGCCTATGGACAGTGCAGGTAATGTAGCTTTCCAACATAGGTTTATGCTGCTTGCATTTGAAAGATCAGCCCTCAGAATTTTGGCTATGTAAGGGTCAGGACCAGCCATGCCATTAGGCAGAATGCTGCAATCACCCCAGGCAGCAAATACCTCCTGCCCGCCATTCTTCTTGAACTCCTTGCCATTTCCCTCTGGCAAAGAGCAGGGGTGTGTCTGCCACCCAACCTGTCCTGTACTCCCTAAGCTACTGAAATCTTGTAAGCTCCACCAGTTGGAGGATGCTATCCCATTGTCTGTGCTGGTCAGCGTCTACACATGGTGATGGTAAAATGGGGCATCTTTACTGCAGGCAGCAAATATCTTTGGCTGGTCCTGGTAACGATCACAAATTATGGGTGAGAAGCTGAGGAAGAGAGAGGGAATGTTTGAAAAGGAACAAAAATATTGAGTTACCATTTAATGAAAAGTCTAGTGAAAACGTTGCCAGCAATTGACTTTACAATAAGGATGAATCAAGGCAGAATAGTGTATTGATAAATGAAGGACACTGGTAATTAAAACTGCAGAGGGTACAGTTATACTAAAAGCAGTTGCAATGAGAAGATATCTGCCCACCCTGTCCCAGGAACAAAAAGTTAAATGTTTGTCTTAGATAAGGACACAATGGTGGTGAAATGTCATGGTTTGCGAGGAGACTGTTCTGCACCATACAGTATCAACTGGGTGGATGTTGTGATGCAGTTCTTAATGGATTTAGAAGGAAAATATGTTTCTTTTTTAAAAGATAAATAAATATTAGTTTTAAATTATTATATGATGCTTTATAACCTGCTTTGAGGAGCATTTGGTGGAAAACTGGTCTGTAAAAAATATATCTAAATACATATAAGTATAAATGGAACATCTGGATGAGTGTTCTGTATGAAGTCTGATATATTTTAAAATAAACACAGTAAACATGAGTTTAACATAAAGGCTACCAATCAGATGATAAACAAGTTTTGAGTGCAATATTAAAGGCAAAGGGCTGCTGATATGTATTTTATTTTATTTTATTTTAGTTTAGTTTTTAGTGTTCAGAGAGCAATGTGACATCTGTGACCCAGTTCCTAGGCTGAGAAATACAGAAATCTCCCTTTGGTCCAGTCACCACCTGACATGCAGCTCAAATTTATATTTGCTGTTCCTGCACACTTAAAAAATAAATAAATACAGGCACATACCAGTATGTATTCAGAGGACTCTGAACAAAGCCACACACCCATTCTTAGAGAGAAACAAAGGAATGGAAGAGTAGGCAGAGGAGCTAACAAAGACTCAGAAATATAATCTCATGGTTTACAGAAAGGCTTACGATAACAATCTTCCAATAACATTACTGCCAAATTTAATATGTTGTTCAGTTCATTACAGTCTTTCTCAGATTTGGCCACTAGCCACGATGGTGGAATACAAAGGCGGGGGGGGGGGCACATTTTGGGGGGAGAGAGGAAGTAAAAGAGTTCATTTTTTCAAGAAATAGTGAATTATCTTCTGAGGGTGCAGCATCTGCTGAAACCACTTTATTTAGAGGAACATAGTCATGAAACCCTGTTGGAGTTGTACTAAAAGCTGCTCACCGGCTCACACAGCCTCCTGAAAAGAGTAGTGGTCTTAGGAGATTGACCTGTTGTTGCATCACTGTGTAAGGGGAACTTGCCCATCCTTTTCCCGACTGGGAGCAAAGCCCAGCTGCAGTGCTGAAGCAGCTTTTGTTATCAGCTGCATTGTGCAGCAGGGATGAGGCAGGGACTAGAAAACTGATGCAACTCTATTTGCTGAGTGTGATTTAGCAATTCTCTTCCACACTCTCCTGCAGCATCCTGTCTAGCCACAAAAGAGAAGCGGAGACTTGCATAAAAAGACACAGTGAATAAAATGACCACCTTTGCCTCACATGCTAACGGAATCATACTTAATCTGCAGCATTGCAAAGTATTTGCTTATGCTACTGTAGCATGCCAGTCCATATGACTGTCTGCTGGTTGCACTCCCATATCATATAGGCCCCGTTTGTATGCCACACTAAACCATGGTTTAGCAACATATACTCAGGTAGATGGGAACTGCTGTGAGCCTCAAATTTGTGCTTTACCTTCTCCCAGGGGCGGAGGAAGGGGGTGCGGACCACCCCGGATGTCACCACTGAGGGGGGTGACAAAATGCTGAGCGACACTCATCGCGGGGCCTGCAGTGCACCCGAGCCACATGTCTCTCCTGGGAGAGATGCTGTGGCTTGGGCGGTAGCAGGCTCTGTGCTGCCCCAAATGGTGTGCCCGCCACCTCCCCCTCAGCTCTAGGGCAACTGAGGGGGAGGAGGCAGGCAGACTCTGGAGGCCCCGTGGAGCATCCTGCCCTGGCCGGCCCCACCCATGGGCCCAGGGCGCACGCGGTGCCCCTGACGCCCAATCGGTTTGCTCTGCCGCTGTCTTCTCCTTCTCTGATGCAGCAAGGTGGAGAACATTTGGTTTTACTTTACTTTAAAGTCAGCTTTTTGTGTCATCTGGACCAGAGATTGTGGTTCCTAACAAACCTGGTTTGGCTTAACAAACCAGCTTCAGAATCCACTGTTGGGACAACTCAACCAGGTGAGATTCAGAGAAGCAGCAGTCAAAGTCTTCCATCTGGCCCAGTGAGTAGAGAAGAGGGAAGCGGGGCTCACAGCAAGTCCATCTTGCTTGTGAACAACTGGCTAAATCACCACCTTAATTTCCAATAAGTATCTATACATACAAATTTGCATATGCATATCAGTGTATGAACCTGTGCCCCAATACTTCATAAGTATTAATGGTATAAGAGTCCCATCTTCTATGACAAAGCCAGATTAAATGTTTGGTGTTGTACAAACTCTCACTTCAAGACGTTGTGAAGCAGAAGCAACTCTCGTATCACTGATCAGCAGCACCTCTGGCTGTTAGTAAAGATAACAAATGTGTAAACACACAATTTCTTACCCTGAAATTTCCCCAGCTTATTTTTTTCTTTGAAGTGCATAACAACTGATAGGATCTCTGGTTTGTCTCACACTGCTGTAGCATCAGTGTCTGAGGAGCCGCCATCTGGCAAATTAAAAGTTCACAACTCTGTGCCGATTAACAGATGTGCCCATATCATGCATCTCATAGGTGTCATAACAGGAATTATGGAATGCTTGCAGTAGCTGAAATCCTTGTCTAACTGTCTGAAGATCAGCTGCACACATCCAAGTTTTGAGATGAGTGGCCCTAGCTGCACATGCTTAGTTTCATCTGGGCTGCTTCTACATCTTTGCAACTTTCTGTTGTGATGCTAGACATGAAGAGACACATTTCTTTGTCCAGTCAACCCAACCTTACATATTGGTTGGTATTTAGTCAACTCATTTCTTGCTATATCCTTCAAGATAAATGGATGAATGAAGCTACTGGCTCTGAAATGGTAGGGGGTATTGGGCCATCTTTCAAAACCATGGTATAGCTGGATAATTTTACCAACCTGCTGCTGGGCAACAGGGACCACCCTGCCTCTGTCAGGGACATGGAGCAATCACATGCTTCTTCTAATGTAGTAAGTAGACCTTTCTATGGTTTCAGGTCCTACTTTTTAACATAAAAGCACTTTATCATATGAACAAGGTAAGGCAAACTGTTGTTTACTGTGGCTCTTGTATTTTGGAGATAGTTACCTTAAAATGCCGCTTTTTAATGAAAGCAAAATCTGGGGTAACTTTGAAGCTGCATATGTGCTGAAGGCAGTCTGTGGTCCTTTCTGTTCACAGGGATTTCACTCATGACTAATATGTTTTCACTTTTATAGTCTGTAGTGCCCGAGGCTATATGAGCAGCCCAATATTTTACTTTGCTCTCTCATCATCTACCTGACCCCTGTTCTTTGCTTATTACAAAGGCTGCAGATGGTTAGAAAAATTTGTTTTCAGTTAACATGTTGGGATCCTCAGCTTGGTCACGTCCCTGATCTATTATTTGGCCAACATGCATTTTATTTTCGTTTATAGTTTACGTTTTTATGATTAAGAAGAAAAATGGTAAGAAAGGGGAAGAAAGAGAATTGAAAGTTGATTCCTTCCTTTGGATTTTGAGTCTTGAGTCAGAACAAGTTTAAGATTATCTGGGAAACTGTTGGTTTGGTTTCATTTACCCAACCACTTTATTTTGTTATAAATTTGACCAAATCATATCACAATATTCTGGTACAATATAGGTCTTGTCTAGTGTGTTTTCGGATAGCAGCTTTAGCTATGGCGAACTATAACCGGGTCAGGCTACTTGAGATGGATATAATTTCGAAATGTTTTACTAAAATACTTTTATCTGTGCCATTTATAGGTTTCTTATAACGGACGTCATGATGGAGTGCAGCCCTCAAGAACTACTGCTGTCCCAATCTATCCAAGAAAAATCAGAAATGTGACACACGTATAGGAAATCGTTTTCTCTGGTCTTTGTTCGAGTCCCACATCTTCCAAAGCACTTTCTTTGCTATTCTTGGTGAACACAAAGATTTGACAACTTTGCAAGATCTGCATTCTCCTTTGTTTTATCTGAGAACCATCAAGTACCACTCACAGAGGAAATTTAATTAAGGAGGCATTGCCTGTTGTCTTTTTCTATAGCTCCCACTTAGAATAAAAAGGGTGACACTCCCTCCACCTTTAAATACTCCTTTTGTGTGATTAATAACTCTAGCAAACGTGAAAGCACCTTCAAACTATTGGTTGATCCAATAGAAGATTTCATCCTGTTGATACTTTTTGAAAATAAAAGCATTTACCACACCGGGAAAATGACATTTTTTAATCTCAGCACGGAAGCTTTTATTCCTCACACAAAGTGGATAGAACTGATGTAGCAACAAGATAAAATCAGGCACATCCAGCGATATCTACCAGATCACAGGACTGAACAAGTGACGGGGGCATGAAATTACCACCTAAGCTAAAGCTGAAGTGAGTTCATGAAGATTCGTATGTCTCAATAGTTAGCCAGTTTTGAATCTGCCTCATACAGAGCTGTGATGCTTGTCAGCTTAAATGCTTGCTATTAATATTTCTAATTATATTTCTAATAATGTGTCAGGAGCTCAGCAGTCCCAAGATATTGCAAACTACTGCTCCAAGGGAAAATGTCTATTTGATTCCACTTTTTAAATTTAACTTATAAAGCGTGGTTGTCTTGCTTCAGTGCTCATTAAAAACATATATTGAAACATTTAAAAATCAATAAAACACATTTGAAATGTCTCTCTCTCTCTCTCTCTCACACACACACAAACATGATCCTAAGTGCATTTATTTGAGAGTGAAACTCATTGAAATTAATTGCTTTTGTTTCCAAGAAGCTGAATTTATGCCCCAGTGCAGAAGACTTTTTTTGTGTGACAAACAATTCCCCCCTCTTGTTCAATGACTTCTGAAGACTTTGCATAGAATGTAAGAGGTTTCCCACCACCCAATCAATTCTCTGTAGGTGCCATATTACCCAAATAAAACATACATAATTTCTGTTACATGTGTGTATCTTTCTGCATATTTTCAAGAGAGGGAAACACACTGGAGTAATCTGCTATCTTATATTTTGTAAATTTATATTGTTCTAGGGAAGATTAATTCATGGAAGCTGTCTGATTTATTGAAATCCTATGCCTAATTCAGCAAAGGACTGGGCAGCAAGTTTCCCCCTACCTTTTAATCTACCTGTACATTTCTTCACAGAAATCATCAAGCTTATGGAAGACTTGAGGAGACTTGTTGAGCTCAGGAGTTCTGAGGCAGTTATATCCTTTTGTTACCAAGACTTACAAAAGAATAGGGTGATCCAGGAATGGCAATTTCTGTAGCTTTGTTGTCCTGTTCCTGCTTAATGAAAGAAGCTCTAGACTTTGTTTGCAGTTTAAAGCATTTCTTGTCTTGAGGGACCTCAAAATCTCAGAGCTCTCCATAGCCAATTGATGGATGATACAGTACTGCTTTGATTAGATTAGAATCCAGAGGAAAGTTGGGCATGCTTTTTGATTATTTCAGAAGGGTCTACACTAGTGTCCTAGAGCCAGTTTTGACACTTCCTTGTCCTTTCCAACAAAGGGTGTTAGTGGGAAATGTTCAGGTGTATCTTGTTAGTTTCCCAGGTCCCTACTGGCCAACTTCCCAGACAAAATGTAGCTTTTTGAGCCAATGCACTTTGGAGGGACACCTGAAATGGTCACCGGACATTGCAAAGGAGACTTGCAGAAGAAGCCAGATTTCTTCCCAGCTGTATTATCCATCCCAGCAAAACCAACCCACTGCTGGTGGATGGAGTATAGTAGCTTCTTACTGTATTAAATTAGCCTGAAGTTATTGCTAATTCTAAAATGGTACGTGTGTACACGTGTGTTTTTACCACATGCATAAGTTGGTTAACACACTCCAGGGACTGTGATTGCTTGTTGCATTGTACATACAGTGACGTACTTGCATTTGCTGTTAAGTTTTTTTAAATGAAGCATTTATACTATGGGCCTTGGTAATCTCCCATTCTTGTATTATGGTCTGCATTTTTGCAGTCTCAGAGGAGCTCCTGGTGGGCTACAGGGACACCAACCTTTTGGGTTCAATGGGCACATTTGGGAACATATGCATATACCACTCAAAAATGCACACACCAGAGCCATGTGCGCACACATGCACACTCACTTCCCCCCAAGCAATTAGGCTGGGGGGGGGGGGGACATTTTAAGCTGCACTTTCACAGAAGCTCACCCCCTTTGCACACAATAGGCTTCTATAGGACCAATTTCCAAGTCTAATGGAGAGGATTTTCAGCAAGGGTTGTCACAGCTGGGGAGGGAACAATTTATCCGTCCTCAATTGTGACTCTCCCCCAACCACACCATTACACATAGGCTCCAAAGAAGCTTTCTATTATAGACAGCAGAAGACGTCTTTCAAGCCTTATTGTAGTGCATAGTTTTTTGTTCCCAGTCTGTGCGTTTGTGTGTTCTCACCCCACCCAGCAGTGATCCTCCCCCAATGCAATTAGGCTTGAAAGAATTCTTCAAGAAGGTTTGCTTCAAGCCTAATTGCTTCAAGTGTTTCATAGCCTGTGAACCCCTCAAACATCTCCCAACATAATTAGACTTGGGAAAAAGCCTTCTGTTGGTTACAGTGGAAGACTTCTTTCAAGCCTAATTACAACAGGAAAACGAGACGGAGGAGGAGACACTGCAGGCACCTGTGGAAGTCTTGTCAGGTGTATGGGTGCTGCATTGATGTCCCCAGGGCTACTATGCAATATGGCAGGCTCCTATCAGCTTCGTTGATCACAATTTTTGCAAGAGTATTTATGTACTTTATGGTGTGGTTGCTTTGTACTGTTTTTCCCTCTCCTTTGCTGAAAAAAAAAGGATTGCTGGGAAATACTGTTAAACCACAAGCTTTAACTCATGAGCTAGAGCACATAGACACAAATGTCCCATAACCATAACAAGATTTCAGTCCTGCATAAGCTTACCTCAATTTTCTCTCTTCAATTTTGTATTTCACATAGAATAAGATTACCTTTCCTGAATCCTCTGACTCATACCTGTTTAAAAATACCAATGGCTTTGCACAGAGGCTCCCCCCCACACCTTGACAGCGGAAAGAAGCATTGAATTTGAGTGGGCTGCTAAACTTAATGGATGTACAATTTCAACATTGCTGGTGATTGCTAATCACAATATTGACAGTAAATATTTAATTGCTCATTTTATAGGACAAGGCCTCAAGCTATACCTCATTTCCAATATTTATGGAGTGATGGGACAAAAACCTCCCTGGACTGCCAGGGATAAAGTTGACAGTTTAAGCAAAATTCTTATAGCAAGTTTTGTAGAACGCATTCATCTTGTCTTGATATTAGTTATACTATCTGGTTCCCTATATGATGGGGTTTAGGGTACTGCAGCTACAGCTGAATTGATTCCTTGAAGTTAAAAGGTTAATCTCATTGCTTGCTCTGGAGTGAGTTAGCTGCCAAGGCAGAAAATTCATAATGTTGGAGTAAAGGCCATGAGGGAAAATAACACATATTGTATTGAGCACCTCAGCAATTTAAGCACAACATTGTGTTTATTGATTTCACTTTTCCTTAAGAACCAGGGGAATTTGTAACACTATGCTTTGTATATATTTTACATTCACTTATTTTAAGAACAGAGTGTTCCTTCCTACTAGGACACAGCCAGGGGCTATACATTATTTCTATTAGTAATTGTTATGGATGCTGTTGCAGCAAAAGGATAGTCGCATCTTCAGACAGCAAAAGAAACTAAATACCCATCAGTAGGCAATACTTCCCAAAAAGGAATTTTGTCCTGCAAATTATCTTACAATAGTAGATGTTGGGACCCTGGTATCCAGATAAATCAATATCACAGTGAACTTCTGCCTGATTATTATTCAGATTTTAAAAACTAACCACTATCAGGAAGTGTGGATGAAAGCACAATTACGGTATCTTTGGAAGAACCTGTTGGCTTCATGGTGTTGGGCACATAGCTTCAGAAAATATAAAATTTAAGTGTCAAATCCACGAAAGTTTGGTCACAGAACAGTTGGGATTAGTGGTATTGCTTTGGTCTGTAATTTCAGGGTGGGGTGGGTGGATGATGGGGCTTCAAAAGTTGTCTGAAGGTTTTTACTGAAACCTTCCTCCCCACATCTTTACTAGAATTAGTAAAAGAATTTCCCCAGCCCATGGAATTTCCCTTGACAGGGGGGAGTGTGGTATAACACATGGGCTGTGCAAAAGGTTTACAACATTCCTGGGGGCAGCTTTTCAAAGTAATATGACTATTTCCAGATCCGCAGTACATTTATCAGATTCCCAGATGTGCCCACTGTCACTGATATTTGAAAGAACAACTAACACTGCACCGCATATGGAAGTGGTGACTTTTTTAAAAAATTGCAGCTGCCAGGCTTGTAATTTGCTAAAAACTGGAAGGTGTTGGGTACCACCTTGCTGGACAATTGGTGCAGAAAAGTCCAGAGATTGGCATTAATGGGAAAAAACCTCACATACAAAGCTAGAGCTGTGAAAAAAGGAAATGGGCAATTTCATTCCCCTTGCCAAGAGCCCTTGGAACTGTAGTTTGTTAAGGGTGTCAAAGAAGACGAATAAGTTAAGGGCGCTGTGAACTATTGCTCTGTCAGGGGAAAAGTAAAGTTCCAGTGTGTGTGTGTGTGTGTGTGTGCGCACGCACGCACTTTAAATCTGTGGTGAACAGGCAGCATAAATTTGTGTCAAAACCACAGAGCTCTACTTGCTATAGCAAATCTTATCCTGATTTGTGTTTTCGTCAATTTCTGTTACTGTACAAGAGTCCTTCAAATAAGAGGGCTGATATCCATAAAACAGAGCACATGGAGACCCTAGATTTGGGTTCATTCAAAGAGAATGCA